ACCAGTGGCTCTGGCCTGGAGACTGGTGCAGATATCCTCGGGTCTGACCTCTGTACCATGTTTTGGGGGAAAATTTTGGAGAAGAAGTGGCTGAGTACCTGCTGGTTTGACAAGCTGGCAGACTTGGGGCCAAGAAATCTGGGGTCATCTAGCAAACTTTCCATTGACCTTCCTATTTAAATCCTGATATATTTATCCATTTTCCACCAGACACTAAGTACCTCCCAAACAGACAAAAATAGATACAAAGCCTTCCCTGAAATTTCCACTGTCTGTTTCACTTTACTTACTTTTTATGGTTAAGGAGAGACTATTTTAAGCAAATCTCTCTAGATCTACAGACACCTTAACTTTCAAGGAGATTTAATGATGGTTGGACTGATTTTGTTTTTACTCTTATTTCACTAAGTAAGTTTTGCATTTTCCTTACTGCATTCAGCACTAAACTCCTGACCTAACCATAGCACAGGCTAAGGAGAAAATGTAGAACCACTAAATACTACTGTGTAACCTCCTACCTTCAGATCAGTGTGCTATTTTATCTACTCACACCAACCACCTAGAAACAACCAAACTAAGATAATGAACATCAATGGAAGAGGAAAATGAAGTTTAAGGAAATTTTGAAAAAACTCTGGAATTTAAATTGGTTTTGGTGACTATGTCACTCAAATAAATAGACAATAGCAAATAAATAGACATATATAACCAGTTTGATTACACAGGCCTGCTAACACTAGCTCTCCTGAATTACTGATTTCTGTTTATTGATAGCATGCTGACATCACTTCTCTGCTGGTATCAAATTTTTGTAGCTAATTAAAATGCACCTTCTCTCTAGTCTGCATGCACCAAAAAATGGTAGATAGATGTGCTTTCAGTGCTTTGCAGCTAACAGAATTATACATGAGCTGTGGGATTCACTCAGGCTCTTGCAGAAACTAACTTGTATACCAGGGGCAGACACAGACTGGAACCTCTGGCTTTGCTCACAACTGTGGAACATCTGGAGCCAAACAGTTGGTTAGTACATTACAGAGATAGGGAAAAGTCATGAGATTCACGTGTCTTTCAAGATCCAAATTCCACTGTAATATTGGCATCTGCAAAGCTGGACTTGTCAATTGGGACTATCTCTACTGTATTTTTCTTCTTCAAAAGAGGGGAAAATGTATATCCTGTTTTTAGGATATACAACCTAGTTTTTTGCCTTGCCTCTAACAGCAAGGAGGTACTGAAGACCCACAAGACTTAACCAGCTGGATATTCTGGAGAAAAAGCCAGTTGCCATTAAGGTGTTGAATCTGGCATCTAAATCACCTACCTCTGCAATATTGGGGGTAGAATTGGCTCAGCAGCAGAAATTTCTACTTGGCTATTATCCACCAGTAATCTCTGCTGTGGGTCAGGAGTCAATCTGAACAGACAAACCTTTAGAAACTGGGAGATCAAATGAAGTCCTTTTGTAACTTAATCTGGCATCAGTAAGAAGCACATCCAAAAATCCAGCTTAAAAGCTTCACTAGTGCTCCAAGCTTGAAAGCTGTGCAATAGTTTTAAGTAAAGAAAAACATTTGGAATATGCTAATTGCATCACATCTCTGGAAGGTTTTGAAAAATCTGATTCACCAAGTATTCTGAACTCCAAACAAGAGCTCTTAATCTGCTTAGGCTTCCATTTTAAACCTTCTTCCACCCACAGAAACCCCTACCATCTCCTCTAGCATTATTCTTTTACTTAATTAATTTATTTTCAATAGATAGTGATGTGACTTAATAGTTTGATCTTATTTTCCTGTGCTTCTGACCTCACCATTACATTTATACCCATGTAAAGTTTGTAACTACAACTACTATGCCAGTTCTCTTTGCTATTAAAAACCATTAGGCCTGCTGTAGTCAAGATGATCAATATTATAGCAGAAGAATCTTAAACACAGTAGTCCATCCAAGGAGAAATGCTCTTTTTTTCCCATCTCTCTTCTTTCTACCAGAAGCATCCATCTCAGAATATTCTGTGATTCAGAAGAATGAACAAATCCTTACTTGTGTTTCAGAGCTTTTTACTTTTTTTTCACTTGGGAAAGAGATGAAGAGAAAGTTAAGAGTAAAATTTTAAAAGCTCCTCAGAGTATGTACGTGCAAGTAGAATATGATACATGGATTTGCTAAACCAACATCTACCTGCACTGACCTAGATAGATGGTTACTAGTCTCAGGGTAGACTCAATTTGCAGGAAATTTGGCTGTCTACAGGGTTTTCTCTTGCAGGGTAGTGAAATGCTCTCAGAAGTGGAGATATGTCTGAATTCTGAAATATTGTACTTAGGAGCCTGAGGGCATGTCTAAAATAGCTTTAGAGTTTATTATTAGCATTTCATTTTTACAGATGACATGGAAGAAGAGGGAATAGGTTGCAAGAAAACTCTTTTCTTCAGCAGGCTCCATGATTGGATTTACAGAGGCAGTACAGCTGCCTACAGAGGCAGAGAGGTGTCTGAGGGAAATTCCAAAAGCTCCTCAGTGAGCAACGTGCCTAATCTCAATCAGCTCTGAAAAGAGTGAAATTCCAGACCTGTTCAAATGCTTTTACAACACCAGTAAAAAACTTCTTTGCACTGCTAGACATCTAATTACCTCTACAAGATGCTCTCCAATTAGTAGCAGATGGCCAGCAAAAGGAAAAGGGATTTGTGTTTTGCATTTTATTAAGTATGTTCTGCTTCTGGGCTAGGAAAGGTTTTACTTTTTTGGCTGTGGCTCTGACTCAAGTTTCTCTGGCCAGGTAATTTCCTGACTCAGTAAGACACCATGGAACAATAGCAAACAAGGTGAGGGGCAGGCTCCATGGGAGGATTATTTATTTACACAGTGACAGGGTGTGTGTCTTCCTGCAGTGATGCCACCACATAATGCCCTTAACTCCTTCCCTATCACCAGCCTCCCCTGAGGGAGACAGGATGATGCTCTCTGAGGTGTTGGCAGTTCCTCTGAAAGAGAGAGCTTTTAATGAGTTGGTGCAAGGCAAATGGGGCTGCTGCCTATCACACAAACTATCACTGCAGACACTTTTTCCTGTGAATGTTACATACTAGAGAACGCCGAGAAAATTATACTTACTAACAGAAATGAAAAGAGCCTAATTACAATGATTTTTAAAGAGAGAGTTAAAGGATGCGTGTCAAAAGAGACTGCTATATAATTATGATAATATCAGTTGCAACTCCTGTGCTAATTACTTGAAACGGGTGGCATTGTGCAATTCTTTTGAAAGCAAGCTGCTCTGACAACAAAATTATATAATCGTGTTATGAAATTACAATAAAACTGAAATAAAAATAAAATTAATATATTGGTAGAAGTAATAATCAAAGAGGTAGCACTAAATCTGCTGGAAAGACAGAACAAACAGAAGCCCACCAACTGTCTCCAGCCCCAAATCTGTGCTACACGTTTGACTCACACAGTGTCAGAAACTGAGATGCTGCACATGTTGCCTACACTTGCAGTCAAAATCAAGACATATTTACATGACAAGAAAAGAGTTGTAAGAAGTGGAAAATGAAAGGAGTAAAGAGGAAATATTTAAAAAAAAAATAGAAAGAGAATAAACCTAGCAATCAGAGTGCTGAACTGTGCTGGAGCTTTGAGTGTCTCCATGCCTTGGCTTTGTTCTGGATCCTCTGAGGTACCCCGAACATCCAGCCTATTGAGCATGCTGGACCCTGTCTGATTTGGGCACTCAGACATCTTCAAGGGATGAGGTTTTTCTATTTGGGTTTCACACTGGCTGTATTACACTGATAAATCTGTCCTCAATACTTGATATAAATGGAATATTAAAGTTATTACTTAAATTTAGTATACATTTTGTTCATCATGGAATAAAGTTATACAGAACCCACACCTACTATAACATAATGCCATCTGTTCACAAATGACCTGGGCACTGAAAAGCTCTGATTTTTTTCATTCATTAGAAATGAAAATAATAGCACATTCATACGCAAGCCCACAGATCTGCTGGTAAGTCCATGCTCTTAATTATGGTGTAGCCTAGAAAAATCAACCATTGTTTGAACAGTGACTTCAACAGATTGTAGATTTATAGTAGTTTCCAGATTTTTGTGGCCACCATGAGGAAGCATGAAAAGTTTCATGGATTTTCATGGATACTGCATTGTCTAGTAGTGGAAAATAAGACAGAATAAAATGTTTCATATTATTCTATTAACTATGTGTAGGTTGTTTATCTAATGAATAGCAAAGACATAATCTCATTTATTAGCAAAATTTACATCTTTTTTCTAAAATTTTAAAGCAGCAAAAGTACACTGGCAGTTGGCTAGATCTCCTCATTTGCTGCAAGTTTCGTAAATACTCTTCTCTATGTACTGCAATCTGTTCCCATGAGATGCTACAGAGTGAAAGAATCTGACCTAACTTCCCCTGATCTTTCAAATTCTGTGTTATAATCTTCCCTTGTCCCTTTCTGGTAGAAGAAAAAAACCATGAAGTACTTTTCTAACATATGAGTGTTTTCATTGCTAAACTTTTCCTTAAAGAAAAGTGCACGTTTGAAAGTCTTCCTCTAAGCTGTTATCTCACAACCACTTGCCACTGGTCCATACCCTGCCATGGCTGCATGCTGTTTATTCAATAGCACTGAATAGAAAGAAGAATGTTTCAACTTTGCAATAATTTTTTATGTCATTTTTAAAAATTATGATGATTCAGTGTAGGCTATGTTAAAAATCTTATTCAGCTTGCAAGGGGCGTGGCTGAAGCGATTAACAGGATTTCCATGCAAGACAGCAAAGGTCTTTTGGAATTCTATGTGGTGGGATTGAAGTACGAAAAATGTGGAAGAATTATCATGAAACCTGCCATCTTACAAAACAGAAAAAAATCCCAAGCAACACCTAGAAACAAGAAATAAGCCAACAAAGAAGCAGAGCAGCCTCAACTGCATTTCTGGCATCTACCAGAGGCTTTCTTACCTTCACTGCAAACTCTGTTTCTGTAGCTTTATGAACACATCTCTTGCACACTGAATAGGAGCCAATTCCTATGTCCTCCTTGATCTCGTATCCATCAGTAAAGTGAATGTTGTTCCCATGTAACTGCTACAGGGAAAGACAAAAGAAACAAGGAAATCAGGACATGGATCTGTAAAAGCAAGGACTAGCTTCCTCTTGAAGAAGGTCCTTGATCTCCTCTCCTTCAAAGAGCTCTCTTGTCCTTAGCAGCTTTTCCGAATCAAATTAAAAAGTTTCAAGCTCTTCACGTAAACAAGTAAATGTGTCTTTTCAATTTCTACCTTTTTCCAGTCTGTAAGATGGAATTGTCTATGTAGAAGTAGTGGCAAAACTGTGCTTTTCTAAACTATTTTTGGAATGCAGAAAACCACCATATATTAGAAATTCATAGGAAACTGTGGGCCCAAATTTTCTGACAAACTCACATATCTTGACAATATAAACTGATTTCTAATTACTGAGGGGCAGATGACATAAAATACTAATAGTTTCACTGTGTTCAAGAGAGATACCCTATATATGGGGAGCACCTCCAGATCATTGAAGGTCTTGTCTAGAATATGTTTATCTGCAGTTTCTTTGTGAGAGAGAAGTTAATATTTTAGGCCATTAATTCATATGCTCTTTGAAGAATGTCTGGGCAGGTAGACTGGTTCAATGGTGAGCTCCACCAAATCTGAGGCTTTGCTGCAAATTCCATTCCAGGACTCAAGAAATGACCAACACCTCAAAAAATCCTCCAGAATCCTCTGTCTGAAAATGCAGCCTTGCTAGCAAAGTCCACACAGAACCTGCTAAATTCTAAGACATGCATATGTCAATATTCAATGCATTTTTACAAAGCAAATCACAGGAATATATATAACATTTCTGAGATCTAATGGCTTGGGTAACATTTCACTTACTGTTCCATAAGAGCATCTTTAAGAGTATGACACATTCCACCATAAAAAATTAAAATAATAGATGAAAATCTACAAAAACCACAGGTACGATCTTCCCTGCTTGAGGCATGGGTAGGAGAGGGAGCTTTTTCCTAGTGAGAAAATTAAGCAGCCTTAATCAGCCCAGTTCGTTCTCCCCGTTCCCTTTTCTTCTCATGTATTGAACCTCTTGTAGGAATTTATTTCTGGTTTAAAGTACAACTGGATAGATTTTTTTTAGGAGAATGTCAGCAAAGAACCAAGTGGTTGGTATTTTCCCCCATCAAGCACCCTGGTTTAGGTGAGTACATCCAGCCTTTTGTGCAACAGCAACAGGACTACGGTGGTCTCTTACTCCCAGGAGCCTGGGCTCTGTGTCTCTGGGAGAACATAGCAGTAATTCATCAAACCCCTTTGCCAGCACAGACCGGATCATATAACCCATGACAAAACTGTTGGGAATGAAACACATTCAGTGAAAGAACAGTATTTCATTACTTACTCTGCATGCACAACTGGAATCCTGCTTCAGGTATTGAGAAGTATTTTTCATTTTAGTTGTGACAAAGTGCAGTTCCTATTTCCTTTGCAAAGGTGGTGAGGAATGTTTTATACATAAAAGCATTTGCAAAAAAATTCTCATTTTCCAACACCTACATGCTGCATTTAAAACACCTCCTTCCTACACTAGATAGCTGTGAAATGCCAGTGAGAACATTAGGCAGTTTAAATACACACATACGTATGTGCACATCAGATGTGAAATGTAACCAGCATCAGTACCTGCACAATTGGATGAACAGTGATTTTGTGCACATCTTGCTGTGCAGGCTCCTGCACCAAGTTAGAGGCAACAAAGCTGAATCCTCTGAAAAGATGATGAGCATTGGCACTTGGAGGAACACCTGGGGAATCTGTAGGAGAAGGAAGAAAATGGCCTCATGAACTGCACAAAAGAACAGAAAGGAATAGCATGGCACTACAACAAAGTCACCCCTGCCAGTCAATAGCAGATCTGATAAACTGGCAGACACAGGGGAATATAATTACTCTCCCTATCGAGGCTTTGGTGTGCCTTCTCCATTCCTTTCCTCTGTTTTAAACAATGCAGGGGTATTGCTTGCAAGGATATCTTTGTTGGATACAGGTTTGTTTCACAGGGCACTCTTAGGCAAAGTACTGCCTGTGCCAAGAGTGCACAGAGAGAGAGAAGGCACAGGGCAGAGAGGCTTGGTGAGAGACAGGAGACTCAAGGCAGGGCACCTTGCAGGGCTTATCAGAGGTTCTCCAGGGAGAAGCTACAGGCTTCTATAAAGCTGGAAAAAAGCTGGAAAAAAGCTATAGGCTGCTATGGCTGTCCTTTGCAGCACAATTTAACTACAGAAATGACAAAGATCAAAGTGGCACACCATGTGGGTCAGGAGAATATAGAGAATGCATGAAATTAATGTAAAAGCACAATACTCCAGTAGTGGCCTTCTAGGAATCTTCTGGAGCTGGGACTTACTCCAGGGAAGACTTGTTGACTTGTCCTCAGGTGGAAAAAACAACAAGGATTGTTTTAACTAATCTTCATGGAGGCTTTCTCCCCATCCCTTCCCCTGACATGGCAAAAGGAGGGAAGGAATAGCTAAAGTTCAAAAAATCCTGAATTATTCTATCTTTGGGATGCAATAAGCTGAGAGCAGTACTTTGTACCTGCAGCACTGCTCAGTGAGAGAAGCAGCACGACGAAGCAAGCAGAGCTGTGCTTCACTTAAAATTCTGAAAAGCTTTGAAGAGATCTTTCTCCCCAGTGTATGTTTTATCCTGGGTATTTTCCTCAGCACGAAGAATCACTTTGTAAACTATTCCTTGGCAACAGGCTGGGTATTATAAAACCTATATTACTAAAATTTGCTAACCCTTTTTTTGGTTCTTGGGAGGCTTGTGGGGTTTTTTCTCTTTTCTCCAATGCACCATGTGACTTACTGACAAAGTTACAGAGTTAAATTTTCATTAGAAAGCTATTTCCTTGTAGTGAAGTGTGTAAATACCCAGTTATCTAAAGAAAATACATCCCCAGTGAGCTTTATATCTGACTCACCTGTTGACGCCCTGAAAATATGCAAAGATGTGTACTTCTTAGCATGTACACACCCTGTATAAATCTACTGGTCAAATGAATAGAGGAACTGAAGTCAGAATTTGATAAAACAAATATATATATGCTTGGGAATAAACAAAACTGAGACCAGCTAATTCCATTTCTCATCACAAAGCTGCCTCAGCTTTGACAGGAGTCAAGAGCCAGTGTGTTCTTACTGCACAGCAAGCAGAGTTCAGATGGAGAAGATTGTCTTTTGGTAAAATGACAAGGGATTTTTGTTTATCTCAGTGTTTTTGATGGGCATTCCCCTTGCAAATATGTGGATGAATCACACCAGACCTCTTGCATCACTGGATACTTCCTACCATGGCATATTTATAACAGTGATCTTTACACAAGGGATTAATTAAGAAGAAAGAACATTTGTTAAAAAAAAAAAAGAATGACAATAATTCACATCTTAAAACTTTTGAACCACAGAAAAGATGTGATGCAGCTCTAAAATGAAAGTGGTGGGTCAGCTCTGTTTACAAAAACTCTTCCTTCATAATTCACTGCCAATTGCTTCAGCAAATACTGCAGAAGAACTATTGATGATTTGGTGTTCACTATTAAATAATCATCATCAACAACTGATTTGCCCATTAAAACATTCCGCTAAGTGCAAAATTATGCATAAATTATGTTAATTAAATGATAGTTCAGAAACAGAAATAATTTTTCTAGGCCTTATAAATCAGAATAATTTCATATATTTGAATTAGATTCACTTACAAGCACCAATCTTGTTTAATGGTTATTTTTCTTCCTTTGAAAACTAATAATGCTTTGTTCCACTAGAGTATCTAAGTTTAAGGGTTTTCAAAGGATTCATAACTCTTAAGTTACTTCCTTCATCGTGTTTCACTGGGGTTAGCCAACATCTTATCTGCAAAGGAGTATATTTAGATACTTCAGGTGAAACTTCACATACTTTTTTTTTCAGCAGTAAAGCCAGTCTAAAACATCCCTGCTAGTTACAGCCTGCTGTCCCATCAATTACATCAGCACAAACTTTTGTGGACTGAAGTCTAAATTGAGTCACAAGAACGATCTTGGTTTGATCCTTGTTCAAATAACCATTTCTAACCTAGACTGCTTCCCCCCTGTAAGGAGCTGAGTCACCACAAATGAGATGTGGGGTCACAGTGGTGAATTTAGGAAGCAAATGGCCAAATAAAGCAACTCCAACTTGGACAAATCTTTGAGAAAAAGTGATGTGAAACTATAGCCACATAAATGATCTGTCAGTGTCAGAAACCACATCTTTGGCACACTCAGGTCTGAAGTTAAGAATCTACAGAATGTGGTGTCAACCTCAAGGGTAAAGGAAGTTTCTGAGGTATAGCAAATCACTGGACTGACAAGATTTACTGGATGAAAAACTTTGACACAAACCTGCCTTCAGACAGAAGAACTCATTCATAAAGGCAGTGCAAAATAGTGATTGAGAGCTTTGTTAAAAAACAACTGCATGATCATGAAGCAGGAATTATTACAGTGCTTTCTATCTGAGGATGTTCTCAGTAACACGGTTAGTTTGTTTGGGGTCTATGTACTAGCAGACAAAATAAAAAAGGTTATTGCTCTATTCCATTGTCAATATGAGCCAGTATTAAATACTCTCCCCAATTTATATGACCCTAATAGTCAACAGCCAGGGTCTGAAAAGTATTCTGCCAGTCTTCCAGGGCTTTTCCATCATTCTGAAAGTGTAAATGGATTCACACTTCCAATTACACCTATTTTGAAATGTTTGATCCTCAGGCTACTATCCATGGTAACCCAAAGCAGAATTGAAGCAGGCTACCTCCCCACCCCTGCCAGCACCCCAAAATAAACCTTCCAAGTCAGTGTCTCGTAGGAAATAACAAATTTAATTAGGCAACAGCAGTTAAATGTAGATTGTAATTTATAGCCCCAGGCATCAGTAAAAGCAATGAAGTGTGAACTTCCAAAGCAATCCAAACTTTTAATGCTTCTTTGCATTTCAGTGACACTTCCCATGGGAGCAGCAGAGCACACATTCTTGAAGACCAGACTAACTTGCAGTCTCCCATATTTCAGAGAAATTAGTGCTTCTGAAATCTAAATTAAAGCTAAAATCAGATGTGTGAAATGTCTAGAAACCAAAGATCATATTTCTATGCAGGGGAATGGGAATATCAGGGCATGACCAACATATAACTGGAGACAGGTAGATGTTCCAGCTGAAAAAACAAGAATAGAATATTTTTATAGTTCGTAAAAGGCAGAACATCCTTGGGAAAAAAAAAAGTAGGACTTGACTGAGGAAAGATTTGAAGTAGATACCCTTATTTCAAACCCATAAAAGGAAATTTGAACCAGGCTTTGAATAGAAGTTTGGGCTAGTTTTAAGTCAAAATGGTGTAGGTCATGATAAGCCTGAACAAAAACTGCAGGAAATCTCAGCTCTGATTCACATGCTATAATATAGGTGTTTTCATAATGAAAGCTCAGAGCTTTCCCTCTCACTGCAGCAGTTCTGGGGCAATTTGAGGATTGAAGCTTGAGTCCTTATACTTGATTGTTACACAATATTATGTGACATTTACAGCGCTTACCACCTTTAAAGTGTTTTGCAACAACAACTAATTCAATGTTTACACTTTAGAAAGCATAAACAGGTAATTCTTGACACAGGTACATCATAGGCAGAAATGTCATGTAATTTACCCATGTCTAGCATATGGCAACATTATAAGTGGGATTACCACTCTGACATTATTGATATTCTTGTTTTCTTATTTAAAAGAGTGGAAAGATTGAATTTTATGCAACAGACACCTTCATATATATAGTGTACAAAGCATGGTTTCTGTTAGGAAATAGAAGTTACAGGAACAACATTCTATCTGCAAGCATTTTCTAAATATTCTGGGCCAAATTTCCTGTTGGCATAACTCTGCTGACCTGAGAACTTGATGATTCTTCATTGCTTTTAACTACACAATAACTTCCAATAGTCCATAGTCCATGGGATGTCATAATTAAATAAAACTTCTATGCAATATCTAATAACATACTAACTTGCAGAGATACAAAGTTATTTGAAGCCAAGGTAATTTAGTGTAGTTAAATTCAGCTAGTGTAACCAAAGATGAGTAATAAAATAGCAAAACAATAGTTATTTTTCCTTTAAAAAATGTGAAACCTGTTCTTCCTGAAGACAAGTTAATATGTAGCTGGTCAAATACTTATGAGCTTCTTTGCTGGAAAATCAAAACCAGCCATTGCTTCCTACTGGATATGGCAAAACCCTGTAATGCCGCAGGTGATCAGACTTTTAAGCTGCATTGGAATAGGGAGGGGAAAGGAAGAATGAATTTACTAACTGAAAAGGTGAATTACCCACGTGCCACCTTACTAACCTGTAGGGGTCCGAGAGGTGAACTCTGGATCAAAATGAAAGGTGTCTTCTGGCCGCCCCACTGCGGGCTTGAAAGGCGGCTTGATTTCTTTTCTGTACAGTTTCTACAAGGAGAAAAACAGACCACAATCAGCATCAGTGTGTTACACTCAGCATCTGGAAAGCAGTTACACCTGCTTTCTTTAGCGTGTCCTCCCTCAGCTCCATGCTATCCTCGCTGGACTGACAGACAAGGATGATGGAGCTGTGGTTCTGGCTCTTGCTTTACCGCTCAGCCTAAAGTCTGTGCCCTGGATGGTCCCCGCACATTTTAACTACTGGAATCATGAATATAGACACAAATGTTCCTGGCAAAAAATTTAGCCCATAGGCTGGAACAGTATTCCAAGCTGGGGCATCTGGAAATTCACTGGTCTAAGGGCAGGACTGGAATGTGCAATGCTAAGACCAGGAAACAGGGTAACTTCAGCAGTACAGCAATCAGCACAAAGAATTGCTAGGAAGCCATGACTGCTTTAGAATTTATTATTTGTCAAGAGCCAGCAATGTGTTTGACATGCTGCCAGACTGAGCTGAGCAATAGGCGCGGCTGCCTAGTCCTTACAGCCTAAACAAGACTTGCTCTTTTAGCAAATCTGGTAAAAGGGAAGGGGATTTACAGCTGATGATTACATGAAATTCCCACCAAAAATGCTAGGGAGAAAGCACTGTGGATGGGTGGGCAATCATACTGAAGCTCTACATGTGGCTTAAATTGAGGAACAAAACAAAGAAAAAACATAAGGAAGACTGGAAGGTATGTAACAGGTAAGTACTGCTAAGTGTGCGAGTTTCTGCTGGTGCCTGAGGAGTCAGGTAGGGGATCACCTAGATAACAGGCACCATAAGTTCATCCTAATATATCCTGCCTTTGTTATGAGGGACTTCATGTCCTTTTTACTCATTCTCTGAGATCTTTAAGAAATTGCTACCCCATGCTCCATTGCAAGCACTCTCACAAACACAGACAAGCACACTGAGGTGAGGATGTCTGGATCTGATCCAAAGCTTGTAGAGGTTAATGGAAAGAGCCCCGTTGATTTCAGCCATCTTTGCATCATCTCTGCCTGAAATGGTCAAAACTGAACATCATGCTAATGGCAGCATGGGGAACACGGCTCCAGTTTGATTCCCTGCCCCATGTTGCAGTCCCTTTCTAGCAATGCTTTGTTCTCATGTTTCAAAGGGCTGAATTAGTTGCTACAGACAGTTCCCCATAATTAACATATCTGAGCATAAATATAGCGTTTAATGCAAACTTTCAAATCATGATAAGTATTGGAGAGTTCAACTTTATGACTGTTTGCAATATGTATTTTTAGGTTAGCTCTTAAAACAACTTCCTAATGAGCTGATTTTTCAGATGTTTAATGGACATTACTAAATGCTTGTCCAGCTCCCTGCATGCAGGAAGACTTTTTAACTGTGTGTTTTCTGGGGAATTAACTTCTGTAATACAAAGCATGTAGTCAAATCTAAGATATACATACCACCATAGTTTGAATTGGATTTTGCATAAAGGTTCATGATTTTGCATAAATAAAGGTTCTTGAAGTAGAACATTCTGTAGCATAGTATTAGCTTTAACATAAAGGATATATTTGTGGTTGAGTTATGATTCCTTGGGAAAGGGAGACAGTGAGGTTGGAAATGACTGCAATAATTAATGGCCATTTCACCATAAAAAGTTCCTGCTTGCGTAAAACTGCTCCATATCTTCAGAGAGGAAAGGAGATGAATAACTGCTGTGAGCCACAATGGAAAGCCAGTCTTCCAAATAATTAAAAGCCAATTGCAATCTTATGCAGGAAGTGTCACTCATCAGCTGAACAGTATCAACCTAGTAATTAACATACATCTTTTTCTGTCTGCACAGAACTTTGCAAGAGAACTCAGCACCTACTGAAGGTTTTTCTGTTGCTAGGATTTCACCTTGAGAAGCTATTTGCTTCCCAGCTTCCCTTTATTTGTCTTAATTCACAACTGCAGTACTTCTACTGCAGAAAGCAATATGGTCACATTCACATGCTTCCTCACGGAATTAACTGCACAGCTCATCCTGTGAGGTCCAAAAATTGGAAAATGTTTCAGAGCTGTACATCATTCAGGAGTCGCACTCTCTTTTCATTATCGTAACCATATTCTCTCTGGCCTCTTAATTCCTTCCCCCATCTGTAGTTTCTTAAGTGCTGAGGGAGCTACATTTGTATTTTGAATCCCTAACCCACATCCTCCACTGCTAGGGAGCGATTTAAAATTCATCATGAGTCACACGCCACCAAAAGATTTATAATCACAAATTTGCTTTCTGGGAGGGGATGGAAACAAAGAAGTTTCCTGTTTGAGTGAAAGGTACTCCCTTTGAGAACAACCCTTATAACTCCCTTTTCCTTTTCCTTACCCACTTGTGACAAAAATTAGACAACAGAACAGCTAAAGGTAAACTTCCTAAAACATTTTTTTTCAAGCTCTAGAATAGAGTAACTAAATGAAATCATTGAGGACCAAGAAAAGCAGAGTAGCATCATCTATGGGCTTCTCCATCCAACACTGGCTCCAGCTCTCTGAGTGAGCCACTACCAGCCAAGCTAAATCACTAAACCACAGGGCAGCACAACACAATTAAACATGAAGGCCTGCTGCAGGCACAGCACCTCTCCCTTTTAAAACCTGCATCCTCCTGTAAACTGCAAAACTCAGTGTGGCACAAACTGATCTAAAAAATAGTAATAATCACAGCCATTGCTTTGCATACATATAGAGAGAGAAGCTCCTGGAGGATTTGAGATCCTTCTGGATTTTTCAAGAATATTTTTAATTTTAGGAAATGTACGAATATATTATCTCTTACCATGGTCCCCAGATTATTCAGGGATGATGTATCTTGACCTCTTCTGGCAGAAACCAACCAGAGTAGGAAATGACAGCAAGTTAAATTTCAAATCTTGCATTTGACCATTCCTATCAGACTATCCATTACTTCAGGTGAAGTTTAAGCAGTTATGTACTTTCTAAGTCATGGTAATCTTAGTACTGTATGCAAAAGTTACAATGAGTTCCATTATCTGCTTAAATGGGAACAGGGTCCCAGTTTACCTGGTTTAAATTCCAGTTTTGATATCCAAATTTTTCTTTTGGGGCATCTTATTAGGCATTTAAAATAGACTTTGGATATCATAGTGATAACTGGAGCATTTAAATTTCATGCTGGGTACTTAGAATCATTATATGTTTGTTATCTTGCACAGGTATAAGAAGCTGAGGATTTTTTTTCTTCCACAATGTTCCCACATCCATAAAGGAGAATTGCACTCCTTAGCCCTTAATTATTTAATGAAAATACTATTTATTTCTCTTTCCCAGTAAAGAACATTCTATCACCATTTTTTTTAAACTGGCCACAGCATTGACTCAGCACAGGAAAATGTAACTGACAGGTATGAAGAATCACTGCATAACACACAGTGTTGTGGGATCCAGAGGCTGAGCTGAGGGAGTGCATAATCCACAGAACAAAGCAGATGGTCCAGATATTCACACCTGGACACATATCCATGCTTCTGACCACTTATCAACCCCTCAAGTCCTCCTGAGACTTTCATAATAAGTACCTATGAATTAACTAGAAACCATTTCTATAACAGTTTAAGAAACTACAAGCTTCTACTCACTTTCCTTTAGATTCCAGACAAAAACATTTTTATTTGAAATAACTAATTTTCATCCAAGTGCCACTGACTTTTTCTAAAAATATGTTGCCATATCCCTAGTATAATCCTTATCTGAACACCTCCTCAGCTGGAACTTCAGTAATACATGAGAGAGAGTAGTAATAAAATGCTGCAACACTGTGTTTTCTTCTATTCTTATTTATAAGTATTTAATTTTCCATCATCTTTAAAAAACATACTGCTAAAACCCCAGAGATGTAAATGCTCTGTACGGATGTAAATGTCTGACAAATATCTAGAAAAAGAAAATTGTTTAATTTCATTAAAACCTATTTAGTCATTTCCTGGACAGAGTTTCTTTGATGAAGAATTGAATTATTCCTTACACAACTTCTAGAAATAGAAAGATGCTACCCTTCACAGTGGCGCACTTGTAGTGTGTGAATAAAGTCCCTTGATACATATACCTGTCATGGCAAATCCGATAAGCAGACAAAAGGATGAACTACATTCTGAAATGCTTGTCTTCTCCTAGATTAATGACTCAGTGTTATTGCCTGCAAATGACAGAAAAGCTAGCAGAATTCAGACCCTAGGATTAATTTTTTGCTGTTGGTAGAATCGGCAATTAAATAATTTACAGTTTCAGTTCAGTTTGATCTCCGATTAATATTAAAGGAAAAAGAACTGGAATCCACTTTCTTCCTCTTCCTTTCCTCAGCTGTATTTAGCAGTTTGTTTTCAAGCATGTCATTTGCTATAGTTCCAATTTAGTCTGTCATCCAAACAAAAACTACTGTTTATAGCCCACTCCTCTGACAGCAGTCTGCAAAAAAGGATTGCATTTTTCATTTTCAATGAAAAGCCAGAAATTCATTATGCATGACCTGGAAAGAAGAAACAGTAGTAAAAAAATCAGGAACCAGACTGTGCTTTCTCAGAGCCAATGACTTAAATTATTTGAAGTCAACTTGTTTTGGGTCTGCTTGTCTTAAGAAGACAAGGAGGTGCAAGGTTAATAAGCAGGTGAAACTGTCAAGGAGCTAGACATCTAATTTCCCTCCTGAGCATCCCAGCCTTGATCATGAAAGACAATCCATTCATTTAACAACAGATCTATTGAATTTACGTCATGGTGCCTGCTAAATGCCTCAGAGCAGCCAGACTGATATTTGCAGAAACCTCCAGCTATTTTTCACTCTGGAACGTGGGAACTTAGGGCTTTGTTACAGGGTAACAGCTGTAAAAATGTGAGTCTTAGAAAGTCTCATGCCACCATTTAAGTCTGGGCAAAAAACTCTGTGTCAGATTGTCCACAACTCATTTAGTGCAGAAGTTAGCCAGAAGTTAAACCTAAGGTGGCTGGCAATTTTGCTGAAGGATGGCACCCTGGAACACGGGAACAGCTTCTGGGAAAGTCTGGGAGGAGGAGGGTTCCCTGGCCACATGGAGGTTTTCCAGGATTGCCCTTAGTGCCTCTGCATGCAGTGTAACATGGTACCAGCGCGCTGTGCTTGGCAGCAGCATCTGCAGCCAAGTGACAGAGGCCATTCCTGCACTGTGTCTGCTGTTTCCACTGGGTGTTCATCCAAACCAGACATTGTATCTGGTTGTGTCTGTTTGAAGACAGTAAAAGATGGGAAATGGTTGCCCCAACAGGTAAACACTTCACGGACAGATAAAAAAAACAGCTCCAATCCAAACCCCAAGGGAACAGCTCTGAAAATACTGTGAAAGGAAAGCCTGAGTCACAGGGTTCCATTCGCAGTTCTAGTATCACTGCAACACTAAGACTTCACACATGTCTTAGAAGTAAAAAAGGCAACTCATTTCTGTTTTGAATCTGTCTTTAAAATTAGATGATGCAACTTGGTGCTTTGTTACTGGTTATCATGTTGCTCTTTGGGAAAAATCATGCTTAGAAGCAAACCCGTTTCACACTGCATTTCTAGGAGACACTAACCCGTTCTTACCCTTCATGATAAGGGGGCTTTTGATGGAGGATTGTTTTACTACAGTTGCTGAAATTTTCTGTGCTCTCAGTCACAGTAGTCCTGTCTATCATAGCTGCTAAGGTGGCACAGAAGTTCTCCAAAAGAGCTTGCCTCTTGCTCTCTGAGGTCTTTATATTGCCAAGGCATAAAGCAAATTATTGTCCCTATTCCATCTCAACAGCACTGTTTGCTTACTGTCTGCAAAACGATGCGGCAGATTTTGTATACATTATGGGAGAACAAAATGAGGGCACCAGGGATTCTTTTCCTCCAACTGTACAGAGATCAGTGCTATAGATAGAAACATCCATGTATGATCCATTTCTGTTCTCTGACCCTCTTCTGTTTGTGCACATGGAGAACATGTTAACAACTGGTTGGATGATTACTGAGAGTCAAAGTTCTGGCTTCAGCTCAGGGCCAGGCTCACACTGCTCTGAAATACATACAGTACTGTAGCTGCTGGAACAAGATAAGCCTTCCAAGATCCCCTTGAGTGATTGCAAAATTACAATAAAATGAGGAAATATATTACAAGGATGATAGCTGATCGGTGTAATAGTGATCTGTCTCCGAGAGAGTGCAATAAGCACTAATTATGTTGGATTAAAATGGCTTTTAACAGCTATATTTCACAGCAGAGTTAGAGGGCTCGATAACACATCAAAAGGCAATTAAATCTACTTTCCTCTCTAGCCCCAAGGCATACCCATCTTCTTTGTGGTAGATATTTCCCTGTCCGTAAGAGCTTTTTTCAAATGATGGAGGACAGTAGAGTTTCCTTAGGACAGGCATGAAATTGTTCCTTAAAGAACGGAGCTTGAAACAATCACCAATTATCATGACAGAAGGTGGTCTTGAGTATTCTCATGGGATAGAGCTGACTTTTCTGAAAACCTTTCCAAGATGCAGAGCCTCATTTATTTATGATGAGTTAGTGAGCTGGCCCCCAGCAAACACAGAAGAAAAACCCTCTCACTGTTACAGTGCTTCTTATTACGTCAAGATGTAGTTATCTGACCTATATTTTGATTGCAAAGCTGAGGACTGCAGAGATACTGGAGAAAATATAGAAAATAATATTATTTTTGTTAATATTAGTATTTAATAATTATCATAATCATCAACAACCTAAGTCTTGGGATTCTAATTTTTTTAAATTTTCCCTTACTGTTTTCATAAATGCAAAGTCTTCATACAGAATCTTATGATTAGTAAGAATCAGAACAGGAAAGACACTGTAGACTCTACAACATATTTAATGGCTCTAAAAGCCAGCAGGACTATAAAGGAAAGTCTCAAAACCCACCTTCATTAATTATGTTTTAATATGTTTATGAGTCATGACAACTCTTCAACAGGCAACCAAATTAGATTTTTCTAACGAGTTTTTCCAAAATAAATGGCTTTGTGGGCATTTCAAAGGCTACCTGGGCAGCACAAAATGTTCTCTCACAGAGGAATTAGCTTCACTGCAAAGTCCTGGGCAGCAATTTGAGAATGGCTCTGTCACATAGATTCACACAGTTTTACCAGAATTTCTGGTAAGAACTGCATCAATGTTACCTGTTGTACTAGCACTCATGAGCGAATGCATTAAATACTGAAGAGACACGACAATACCATGACACAAGTCAAATAAAATTAAACTAGAAAATGCAAGGGGATGTGGCAAACAGCAGCTCTGATGCACTGGCAGATGTCCAGATCAAGAATGAAAAATGTTTGCCTTCAGGTTTGTCTAAGAATAAGTTAATTTGAACAATTACAATGCTGGAAATGTGAGATTTAACCTCTTACGAGTCTAAATCAAATATCAGATAATCTGCACCACCACCTTTATGACCTGTAGTTGATTGCAACAAAATAAATCCTTGTTTATCATTCTGTTAATCACATCTGACATGTCTTACTTGAATAATGTTTAATTTGATCAATTGTTCCAATTTTGAGTACTGAAGCCAACATGCATTCAAGAGAGACAGAGGCACCCACTGAAAAGGCTCTAACTCCTCTGTGTCAGACAAGTTAGGCTCTCTATGTTAGAGAAAGTAATCTTTTTCCTAAGCATGGCATTTTGTCTTCAAAAAATGTAGCTAAAAATAAAATGCTGCTTCACTTACATTCCAGTCTATAGTAACAAAGAAAGGGTGACGCTTAATTTCTTCCACTCCATCAAATCCAGCACCTGAGAAGAGAATGAAAGAATCAAAATGAGATCATGCTCATAAGAGAGCTGCATGATGTCTCCTCTCCACTCTCTCTCCTCATCCCCACTTTTCTTCTGACAAAGTGAGAGTCCTCATCTAAACAGTTCTAGTCAAGAAATTCTGAATGGTGCAAGTGCCATCATAGTATAAACTGACACAGATACAGACACGAGCACTTCATTAAGGAGACTCTGATTCCAAGGGCCTTTTACTTTTCTCTAATTGAGGCTGCTGCCAAGGCTTTGGGTAAGACGGGGATTTTAGCCACAGCAGAATGCGTGCATCAGCAAGGTCAGGAAAGGCCCCAGGATATCCTGATACTCTGGCAAGGCTCCACCAGTGGCAGTTTTTCTATGCACACTGACTTTCAAATCTTCACTAGCTACTGTTCTCCACTGGCAGAGAAAGCTGAACTACAGGCAAGTATAGACTCAAAATGCCAGAAGGCTCCAAAATATTTTGAAGTAAGCCAGGGTTTTAGGCTCCCCCTCTTTACATATTCTCTTCAAATTCCTGTGAATACTAAAATCGTCACTCTCAGTGTTATGTTTCCTTCACTATTAAATTTCCCTTACATTACTGTAGGAAATTTTGGGAAAGTCGTCTGAGATCTGGTAATGAATCTAATTTCTTCATCACTTTTGCCTTGTGTTTTCACTGAATATTGACTTTTTTATCCCTTCAGTTCAATTAATTTGCTTCAGTGCTATCACAGAACCAAACCAGTACTCAGTAATAATTAAAAGAACTGTCAGAGAGGATTTAGACTGCCATTTTTGGGGTTGATTTGATATTATTAGCACCTTTCATTTTCATTTCAAGGAGAATTAAACTCTGGAAGCAAAGGCTTTGCACTGCAATTCTGGGATCAGTTCCTGAAGGGTACCCAGCCTATTTCTTCTCAAGCATGCTGAGCAACCTTGATTCTCAAAAGGATTTGGGATTCCTAAGCACCTTGCAAGGGGCACTCAGCAGCTCAGAGGACTCAGCATTTAATACATGCAACATTTGTACTTTGGGAAGATTAACATTACAAGCTGCTTTACAAAGGCCTTGTCAACTGAAGCTTTGGTAAAATGTGATGTTTGCTCTCCTTGTGTACAAAACCATTATGGATGTTTGTCAAAATGCAATGATCAGGAACTGCCTCCTACAACCTGCTTAACACTCACTGATGAATGGATACGGGAAGCAAACACTCTGTAAATAAAACATGCAGGATTGTCTGTCAGGTCTGCTGGAAAACAGCAAAGAGGGATGATCTCCTGATTAATTCCCCATCCCAGTAATCTTTCAGTATAGGCAAGTGATGCACATAAGCGTGAACAATCCTAGCCTGCAATACAAAATTATGTGCTCAGAGGTGACCAGTCCTGCTGAGGAGTCTGTGAGTTGTGATGGATAGACATTTCTAGGCAAACACAACATGAAATCAAACCTTAGAAAAAGAGAACAAAAGGGACAACCTCATTGCACTGTCACTGTGTAAATCTGTTGCATTTCTGCAGCTGGAATATGGGTTGTAGCTGACACACTCCCCTGTAAAATGGTATGCTGATTAAAGTTAGGAAAAATCAAAGAAGGCCAACAGGTAATGCTATGGAATGACTGAGTAAGTCAGGACTTTTCAGCCTGGAAAGAGATGACTTAGGAAGTATAAAATAGATCACTAAATTATGCCAATAGGAATGAGTTTCAGAAGAATCTGGAGATGTTTCCTCAGGAAACAGACAGTTGTGTGATGTGGAATTACTTGGAAAAGATGATGTGGCACAAAATACTTATATGGGTTCATGGGGAGGCCATATAAGGAAAGTCTGTTGAAAAGAAATCTGTTGAAGATACTTCATCGACAAACCACAAGAGGCTCAGGAAACCCCTTGCTTGACCTGAAAGAAGGAATAGAGAGAAACTTTGGGTGAAACAACACATATGTTTATCCTGTTCTTACATATCCCTAGGCATCTGTTTATGGTCCATGAGTATTGAACAAGAAAATAGTAAGTCTTTGAATAGGACTTGTTCTATTATTTCCCTAGCATATTTTTGTTTCAACACACAGTCTGAAGTCTGCAAGATTCCCTTGGCGGATTCATTCTGATTTTAGCAATGCCATCAGAAACACAAAACCAGCAGAGTTACTCTGAAGAGAATTACATTAAGCAAATCTTCAGAAAAGAAATATCTGTGAAAAATACTTTGAGTTGAGTGGAGGTGATTGGAAACTGCAGCATGCAGTAAATGTCCTTTACCACATCAGGATGAAACCCAAGTGCCAGACTGATTTTGCAGGACTGGGATAAATGCTAAGACACTGTAAGACACTAGTAGCATATCCTAGACTGAGGATAATTGCTAATGCATTCAATTTTCTCTGCTCTGCCCTTTCCCTACTGCTTCTGTTTTCCCTCTTGCTTAGCCTAATGGATATGTCATTGTGTGTTGGGAATGACATGTTTTTTTTCAGATAATCTCTTTGAAATCTACAATTTTTGCTAGTGTGTTCTTCCTTTTCCCACAAACCCACAGATATAAGGACCAAGAAGAAAAAGTCCACCCCCAGCTACTTCTTTTAGTGGGGGCTGCAGTGTCTGGTAAGAAATGCAAACATGCAGTTGAGGCACACATTTGTTTGTAAAAGTTTAATTTCCCAGCTGGGGCCACCTCAGCTCCAGCACAGAATGAATATGTTGTAAAATTCAAGGGCTTAAAATAGTAAAGAGATTTACGATGGTAGTAGCCTCATTTTGCAAGGAGTGACATCCAATTCTTAGTAACTGATTTTATGTATGGAGAAGGTTCAGCACTTCCTGCAGTTTTTATTCCCTGACCCTCCCTGCCATGAGAATTGCTGGTGTAGCCCACAACCCCTTTCTGGATAGTGCGCTGTGGCTGCAGGCAGCAGCATGTGGCCTGCTCCTCTCCTCAGCTGGAGGAGAGAAGTGTCCCAAGGGTGCATTCAGAACCAGCTCTGGGAGCCAGGACAGCCCTGACCTCACTGCAAAAGTCCTTGGGAGACATTAGGCACTGGTGCTTATGGTGAGTCTCTCTGGATTTGCTCAGCATGTTTCAGCCACTTATCTACCCCTTGCAGATCTACAGGGATACTGAGAAGAGATGTGCTTTCATGGAGAAAAGCACTGCAGAGGTCGTGGCTGGAAAGGCCTGCTGCACGGGGATGGACATTTCTTGGCATAGAGATGGGTATTCAGCAAATATCTGAAGCACAGCACGCAGCAGCGCACTGCACGACCCCAAACCTTACACCTTCCTCAAAGTTTCTAGTGAGTTTGGGTTTTTTAACGTCACTTCAATTTGGCAATGAGACCTATCAGTCAAGAATAATCAGTACAATCAAGCCTATTGCCTGCAAATATTCTTATGTGCCATCCAGTCTCCTGGGGGTCCGAGAAGATAATTCTTTCAGATCAAATTTCCAGTTTAAACACATTATAGAGTGCATTTATATAAAAGCAGCCTCACATTACTAAGTGAGAACTTAATGATGAAAGTTTTTTGCCTGCAATAAAAATGCCTGCAAACAGTAAGAGTCGGGTGTTTTATATTTAATTGGTTTTGATAATTGAATCATTATAGCCAACACGAACCTTGAAATATTAAGGGGGAAAAACAAGACCTAAGAAACCTGAAAGTTGATTACTTGGGTATTCAAATTCATCAGAAATAATTTCTAAATTTTTAGTTTCAAATAATAAAATTTTAGTGTCTCTACAGCTTCAGAATCTTTTTAGTGAGCTAGAATTTTTGAGATATTTTTTCTAAGGTTTACAGGAAAGCTTTACTGTCACTCTGACAAAGGTGAAAGATGTTTTCTGTTTAAACTCATAATTTTAAAAAGTTAAAGCCTGAAGTTTTCTATGTGCCAAAGCAGTATGTATCTTACCTGAGAACATGTGATTAAGAAAATGGTAATGATTTCCTTGGCTTTTACTCTGAGCCTATGGGCATATGCTTTTATTTTAAACTTTCTTGGCTGAGCATCTCAATTATAAGGACTCTGGATACTTTCATACTGCTCAGCAGCACAGGGAGTTTGTTAGATAATATGTTTTTTATATAAAATATATTTCAATATGTATTTGTTAAATAATCATGTTAAATAATAAATAATTTATTTACCTACCTGAGAGATCCAGGCCTTAGAACAAGTCCCTTACCTAGTTCCTGGAAATGTAACGAACTAACACTTTCATCCTAAAGTTTTACTTCTGAGTGCATACTCATTATTTGTCTGGGCATTCAGTTAGTTTAAGAATTTAAAATTATGCTTATCCATAATCTGAAATTGATCTACTTAGAGCAATACTACCAAAGCAGTGCTAGGCAGACTATTTGTACAGCAAATAGGCTCAGAAAAGAACAGATAGTGCCCAAAACCAGGGATACCAAAGGAAGACTTTCCATTAATTAAAAAGTTGTCACAAATATTAATATGGGCATCAGACTTAAAAATAGAAGCAGGTAAATCAGATTACTAAGTTTCTTTTCAGTCTTTTCTAACTCGTTTCAACCCTAATATTTCTTCCATTAATAATTCAAAGCTTCAAAACACAATTTAAAGCAAAGTTTCAGAATATATCATCAATCTTTACTTCTGTTTGTTAAGATACCAATATCAAATGGCAAAAAGCATCTTTTATCTTGCAAATATTTAAAAGGGCATTTTGAAACTAAATGCACTTTCCATATTAGCAAATTTATGAAACAATGGCTGAAATCAAGTGTTTGATCCATAATATGGTTCATTTATTTTAGCATGTTTCATTAATTTTCCAAAGATTTTTCAAATCGGGATGCCTAAGTCTACTTTTCTTTAAATGTCATTATTCCTTTCCCAGAAAAAGTGAAAATCCACAAGACTGAAGCAGTCCTTTTATTCACTGACTTCTGTTCAGTATTTAGGCCAACTATTCAAGCTTTTCTTCTTTTGTTATCAACAGGTTCCTTTCCATCTTCCTTTGTGCTGATTCTCAATCAGTTAAAACAGAGAATGCCTTCAGGAGCACCATTATCCCTGAAATATTAAGATCCATTTTTTCTGATACCCTTTTAGATTTTATTTCCTTGGACATTGTGTTATAAATAATGTCTTTCTTTCTTTCATTCTTTTTTTTTCCTCCAAGCCTTCCCAGTATTTCAATACACTTCAGGTTTTAAAAACCCAACCCCTAGCAATTCCCCATTATTAACATATGAGGGCTAAAATTGTTTTGGCTAAAACTAAGTTTTAGTGAGCAGCTTTTTAAGGACTGGTATCCAGAAACTCCCAGTGACTTCACCGGAGCTCCATTTTGGATGGATAGCAATTTGTGAGAAGCCACAAAATGAACAGAGCAGAATAAAACCAAGAGATGAAGACAGGGAGGAAACTGCAGAAAGAAATGGAGGGAGTGGGAAAAAGTTCATATTTGGTGCAGCATCCAATTTCTCTGAAGCGAGATTAAACCTAGAAATCCCAATACTCTATTTTTCCCTGTGTAAAACAAATTTCTTGAGAGCAATTGAAACTTGCTGAGAAAATGTGTTTTTCTACTCTCGTGTTTGCAGCATATCAGAATACAAGGCTACCATTTAGATCAAGAGGTAAAACAAATGGGAAGGCATTCCCTCTGTGGGCCATATGGGTTTCCCCTGGCAGGACAGGGGCCAGTGGCATGCTGCAGGGCTGGCTCCCCACTGCCACCCAGTACTGGGCTGGATTGGGCTGTCCCCACATGCCTGTGGGAAAAAACAACAAAATCTGCAGTGGCAGTGATGCCATAGGCATTGTCCATCACCTCATCAAGTGTAATTAATTTCTTCATAAAACCCATAAACAAAGGTACAGATGACATAAGATATATTATCCAGTATATATATTTAGTTTATCACAATCTAAACACGATTATTAACAAAGGGTGAAGATTTTAGCTTTTTTATCTTTCAAATACTATACTGCATAAGTGCAAAGGTCTAAACTCCATATAAGGTGTGGTTAACTGTCTTCATGTTCTGGTCAGAAAAAACAATCTCTGTAGGCCTGAGATCCAAGGACAGAGCACAGCCTCAGGCCCTGAAAAGTATAAACAAAAGTGAATTGTGGGGAGTGAGCTGGGGGAATATGTCTTTATTACCTGAACCTGTAATTAGAGGATTAACCCCTGATATGCAAATAGACCAAACTTATACTGTCTGAAAAACTTGTGACCATTGTCCATCTTGGCTGTAGCCTCTGCAGCACTTTTATACTGCCCAAGGTGTATCTATCGAAGGCTTTAATAAATACCTACTTTATTCTATTAATTTTGTCTGGCTTCTGTTCTAGGTAGCCACTCCAAGGCATCAACAACAGTAAAAGGGACATGATGTATTTGGCTAATAAAGAATAAAGTCTACTGCAAGACTGTCCCTAGCTAACAGAATGAGACAAGACTGAAATGCATGTGAGAATGGGAGAGATGAAACCTGAGATTTATAGCTAAATTATACAGATTTTAAACACATTTTTTCTCAGTTCCCTATATTATGATACACAGCAGGTATCTTAAATAATTCATACAAGCTGGCAGTTCACTCACCCTCTTTACCAAAAAAATGAAACACAAGTTAATATCATGTTTTAGATTTGAAAGCTTTGCCTGTACTCCTTACAAATTCCTCCTGTGATGCTGAAGGTTCACTGTGCTCTGGGAAGGAATGCCAAATGCCATCTAATGAGGAGGATAAGCACTGGAAAAAATGAGCTGAGAGGTACAACTCACCCCCCGAGAAGGCAGGGAGCACATATGGAATGTGCTGATCAAGCGCACACGTACCTAATCTGTTGGAGGGGTTCCTTTTGAAGAGGGCTCGCAGCAGGCTCTGGGCTTCTATGCTCAAAAACTGTGGCATTCCCAGCTTGGCTCTGAAACAACACAACACTTGAAAAGAAAATAGATTTTTCAAGATTTTTTTCCATCCCACTGTGGTGGAAACAGCAGAACTGTAGTAGTCATGGCGGGCAGACACATGAAATCTGTGACCAAAGGCTATCTAAGCATGGTGCAGTGCAGAGTGAGAAGCTGATCTTATTATGCTGGTCTTAAGGAAGGTTTTACCACTAACTTCACTAGAGGTAGAACAGATTTAATGAATCTCATAAGATTTTTGCAACCTAAATAGGTAATTTTCCTACAGAATTTTTTCACTTTTTTAGTTTGCTGGAATAAATTTGGCAATCAAGAGGAATTTAAACAATCAAACTTAATGAAAAAAATGTATATGAAACTTCATATGTTTAAAGAGAATAAAGCTCTTCTCTTGGCCATTCACCACTACATAAAAAATGCACTAGAAAGCAAAGCTAAGCTTCAAATACTTTTGTCTGCATTTAACATTAAATGAATGGGACATGGCAAAGGAAAAGATTTGAAACTTGGCAACAACAAAACATAAGATGTTCTACAGAAATCTGACTCTCCCACATTTTATGGATACTGACATTATCACAAAAAGTACGATAAATTTATTTTGTAAGGTCCTCTCAGTAATTCACTTCCTACTCCAGCAGTTGTTTAGTCTGAAGGCAATTTCAGAGTTAAACACAGGCTCAGCTATGTGTGTCTTATTAAATTCACACCTTGCATGGCTTTGGAAAGTTCATTACGCACATCATTATTCTCCACTCATCAAATACTTGGGCCCTATGGAGTCTCCAGAGGATAGAGTTAACTCACAGTTAGAAGAATGAAAGCAGTTTTGATACTCACTTGAGAATGAGTGCCATTGTCTCCTTTCTGTCTTTTCCCTGGAAGGGTAATGATCCCGTCAGCATCTCAAACTGTGGAGTAGCAACAAAATGGTAAATCAAATGTGCATTGGAATGGCCTGTACAGCTGACACATCCATTTTCTACTGAAAACTAGAGGAAAAGAAATGATCCAACAAGCTGTGCTTCAGAAAAAAATGGCCCAGCACGTCTGGATGACTGTTCCATCCCAGACATGTGTTACAAACTGTTTACAGTGGTATTTATTGTCAAGTTTTGGTATGTTTGGGAAGAGGTGTCACATACGGCGCTTCCTCCAGCACCTGTGGTTTTATGACCAATGCTGGCAAAGAGGTATTTGGCTAGATGAACCCTTATTCTGCATGGATATGGCTCTTCTTAGGTGTTTGGCATGGTCTACCATGCAAGGAAAATAGATTTGATACGCCATGCCCCACCTTTTTAGGTTGAATCAAACCACCTCTTTGATTGTGTATTTGCAACACTTAGAGATGCCTCTCTGATATTCTCAAGGCTTTTGCGTGTGCCTTTTGTCTCCTGCTTTGGTTCTTCTTCTGTCTGTACTCAGTGATGAATCTCCTACGTGTCACATTTAACTGAACCCAAATCTCAAAGCAAAACTCAACAGTCATCATCAATTATTTGCCTAAGTCAAGTGTTGAAACATCAATCAGTTATGGTTCCTTGGAGACAGATTAGTGCTTTCAGTAAATTTGACAGGAATTTCACATCTGTAAGAAGTGAAAAAAAAAGCTGAAGAAGCTTGCCTAACTTGGATTCAACACCAGGTCTTTCACACAGCTCTCACCATGGTGTTTTATGGAGTGGCAGCTGCTTGTTCTGACTAAGGGAGGCTGAAGGCTGTGCATCACTAAATATAAAGATTTCAAGAACATAATTCAGCTTGGACACAAAGGAAAACTATGTCCATTGAGGGTAGGGTGAACTGCTACTCATTTGTGTCTGTCACTCAGGCTTTGAATATCTTCTACTATAGTAAGCTAATTAATTACTGTAATTATTAATCTAATAATTAATACTCATTGCTATAAGTAAATACCTACTAAGGCAGAAAGGATTCTTCAAGTCTTATAGCTTTTGTACCTTATCCCACAATAAACCACAGTGGTCCCAGAAAGCACATTTGTGCCAAGAAGGATTCTTTCATTACCAAAATTTGTGTCAGACTGCCCCACAGTCTGACCCTTCCTCCTGCCCAGATTAAATACAGCTATACCAGAAGAAAAATATAGAAAACAAAAGAAAACTAATGATGAACCTGTGATGCTAATTTTGGGAGAAGGGCAGAGGAGATGTTTAGAAGCCAGATAACTAATTGAATATAGTTAATTTCAGGATTAATCTTCATTAGTAACAAAGTACCTCAAAGCACTAAAATGCATAGTAGAAACAGAAATAAAACCACTTAAAAATTTATATGGCTGCCAAATATAAACAAGATTTGGAAAAAACAAATGTATTAAACAAATGTATTCTGCTTGGATTGGGAGAGGCAAGAAAAGAGTTGCCTGGTAGACCTGGAGAAAAGCAGCTCATTTTCTACAAAGAAACATAATGAGGGAGAATTTTTAAACCTGCCTAGATGACGCTGGAGCTTAAATACAATTTTAAAAGTAATTCTGACTTATTAAAGCCTTAGTCCTTATAAAAGTGTTCAGATATACTGGGTATGAAGGGCAGAGAACATTGCTTCTCAGGGCAGCAGCAGCAATAGTACAGATTGTACCAAACCCTCCTTGTGATTTCTAGAGCATTTATGCTTATGGGAAGTACCTAATGTTCACTTACACTTGCTCACATTACTTTTTTATTATAATAAATCTAATTTAGTGGCACCAACAATGGCTGATATGTCTTATTTATACTGGCATAAATGGGCTTGACAGTGCTGATGCAGATGATACAGATACAAACAACTCCTTGACTGTGTGGGAAAGGACTGTAGTTCCCACCCACCCCAATATCCCAGGAATACCTGCAAATACACCATGACTGCAAGGGACAGAAACAAGAAGGAAGGAACTTGGAAGAAACTTAAGTTGCAGGAGGGAGCAGGGGGAACGACTGCTCTGGAGGCTGCAGGAAACATTTACTGGGCTGCTGTAAAGCCCAGCACTTTGTTACCACATCTCCAACTGTGCAGGCCTAATACTGAGATTATTTCAAGTTCAGAAGAAATGCAGTTAACATCAATATTTAATGTGAAAGGCAACCATGTAAGTTAAGTGTACCAGAGCTTTTTACTTCAATAAACTTAGCATCTGGAAGAAAGCATTCGTTTCTCAATTGCAGTCCTGACTAAATCTGTTGAAGGATCAAAATGAAAGAACAAGACTGAAAAAAAAAATTGAAATTGTTAAAGTTATCATTCCACTGCAGAGTGACCTGTCTTCCTGCTTATTGTTTCAAAAAGTCAAAAATCTTGCTAAATCTGAAAATGAAAACAGAAGTGAGAACATGCTGCTTACACTCTTGCACATAAATACAGAGCTGTATGGGTCACAGCAGGTTGACAAGAAGCTGAGACTAGGGGTGGATGAACTCTGCAGTATTTTTGTCTATTAAAGCAGTCCCTATAGTTTTGCTGGGGGACTCAATTTTCATTTTCTCTACTTCTACATCTGTAGGAACCATCTGTTTGCTCCTTCCTTCCCACCGATTCACTTCCCAGGTGTTTTGCAGGGCCATCTTGTGTTAGAATTCTGAAGGCTGCACCTCCCTCTAACTTTGACTTCCTTTCTGTACCAAAGAAAGTGCAAGAAAGACAAATACTCTTTGTTCCGGTTCAGCTGCCTATTTAGAGAGCCACAGAATTAGGCTTAATGGGCCTCTGGAGTCACATAATCCCTGCTGAGGTCTCAATACACTATGCAGTGCTCCCTTTCTCTAGTTTTCAGAGCAGTCTCCAATTTCAGTAGGCAAAGCATGAGCACCTCCCAGAAAATATAGGTGTGGGAAAACCTTGGAAAAGAGTGCTACATTTCCTGAGAAAACTCAGGATTCAAGAAGTGACCCAGGAAGGTTATTGGAGAAGATAATGAGTGAGAAAAAATCCTCAGTCTGGCTAACTGCCATATGAATCTCCCTAATGGATGGAAGGAAAGCAGGTTGTGCAAACTACTTCAGCTCAAGTCTGCTGAAGTATCATGAGCATAGGATAAAACTCAGAGTTACAAAGAAACTTGAAACCATTCAGATTTGGAAAACAGAGAGACTCTCATCAGAATGGCCAGGTTGTCCTCTCAACACTTCTAGTAATTTTCCAGATATCTGAGAACTGCTCAAGCACTCAGTTTAATACTTGCAAAATGCAATAAATATTTTTCATTATCTGTGTGTGTGAAACATAATGAATTAGTGCTCACAAAGGGTTGAAACCCTTAACACAGCAACAAGCATAAGCATTCAAAATAATGTTTATGAAGACCATTTCTTGCACTGGGAATAAAAAAAGTGTAATAATGGGATTTTGGAAAAGAAGATTGATACTTTGATGTTTTACATTGATTTTTCCAATGCCACAAAATTAGTACAGACCTGAATAGTTCGGATAGCAAAGGGACATTTTCTTTTCTTGTGAAGACTTAATTACTTGCTGACACATATGAACACATTTTTTCTTGTTTGGGACTGCTACCAAGTCATCGCAGCCATTTCTGTAATTATATTCCCCTCTCTGCTCACATAACTCTCAAAGGTGTACAGTGTTTTTTTCCTGAACTGAAAGAGATACAACTTTCCTAAGGTCTGTGACCCTGTAAATCAGCTGGTAGGATAAACTACAAAAGCACTGCTTTGTGAGGCCTTCCAAGAGGTTTGTACATGTCAGATCATGCAGACCAGTTTATCTGGGCTTCAGAGATGGCAGTGTGGGCATCAAAACTCTTGCAGTGGAGCTGAAAAGGTATTTCATACCCAATTTTTTAACAATGTAGGTCAAACACTTGTACATGAAGATCACTTGATACAAAGCTTTTGCAGAGTATATCCTAGCCAAAACCTCAAATGCAACGAGTAAGATACAGAAAGGCAGAAAAGGAAAACTGTCTGGTCATGATAAAATAAATTCACATAAATTCGCCAGCAGAAATTATAGAAGTGTTTCAGCAGTCATCATCACATAAGTAATGAGGAGCAGGGACTGTCTTCTGGAATGCTGGAAGGGGCGAATTAAAAAATTTCTGTAACTGCACCTGCTGACATACAGTAAGCTGCCATAAAACAATTCAAATATACTGAGCAGCAAACAGAGCAGGTAACAGTTTCAGTTGTGTGGCCTGTGTCAAAGACCTGGCAGTAAATGAAGTTCTACTGTTGTTGACAACTGTTGAAATTTTACTGTTGTTGACAGTTAGTGTTGTTAGCAGGTGAATTCTTGAAATCATTAATAACACAATTTATAAATAAGACCAGAACTTGGTAATTTTCAGACAAGTTTGTTTTGCTATTAATAATCACAACATGCCACATTTAAGGCATGTGCAAGGATCATTCAGTTTGATTCTAGTCTGTGCCCTGTCAATGGGGGTTGGCAAGAAACTGCCAGCACAAGCTGACTCCTCGTGCTGAAGCAGCAATTCCTCTTCACAGAACAGAACAGACAAGACAGTGCTTGGTTTGATGATGAAGAAAATACAAGCCATGCTATAACTATCAGACTAATATGTTCCCTTTTTTGATAGGAATTTTAGATATGAAAATTGCACTGTCATATATACTTCTTTTGAATCTATGCATATTTCATCAACTGGCATATTTTCTTCATTAATTTTACATCATACTGCAAAGTGCTTAGGAAAAAATGCTAATAAATAATTTGAATAGCATTTAATTATCTTAAATTTTTCAGACTGACAAAAACAGCTTCCCTAATAGAACATATATGTGACAGAACAAGGAAAACGAAGAAAAGAGCAGAGTGAAAGACAGCATCAGAAAATCCTCCCAGACATTTAGTGTGGGGAAATATATGGGTTTTGGTTCGAATCAGCTAAATATTGAAAAGGAAAAAAGGTTGAACAGATTGACATATTTTTCTCCAAGATACCTAGTAACACTTAAAGGCTTAATACATTAGCTTGGAGTTAAAAGGGTTTTACTTTCTTCAATTAATCTCCTTTTATAGGGATTCTTATCTTTAGTAATTCTAATATGCTGAATCCCTAGGGGAGAGTTGAAAAGAGCAATGGAGAGGAAAAAAAAAAAAAAAACCTAGCAAAACCCAGGGAGGAAGCAGTCCAGTTTATTAAGAGTTTATTACTGATGAAAGAACAATCTATACACCATATGCACCATCTTTTAATGGGAAACAAAGAGTGAAAAGACTCAGCTATTCACCAAAACTAAATATATAATAAAAAAGTTAAAGAGTAGGGATAGATTTAATGTATGAGACATACCCTATTGATTTTTGTGACTAAATCTACATGGTTCAGAAGTTCTGAGCATCCCCAAATGGATTTGTGGCCACAGGAGATAAGGATATTCCATTCATTTTATAATTCAGGCAGTAATTACAATATTTATGTAGATTAACTGCTACCAAACTGCTAGATCAGTGATGTAGGTCCTCCCCAACTCAAATTCTCACTGTTTTTCACATTGCTTCCTATGCTTCCTCTGGTGGCATCAGTTATCCACTTCAGGTGAACAAAATTTAAAAATAGTCCATGGATTTTGTAATGTAGTGTAATATATAGGTACCAAAAATAGCCTCCATACAGGAAATGGTGCAGTATTGGAAGAGCACATTGCTATGCTAATTTCTGATCCTGCCCTGGTTCTGCTGTGAGCCACAGCTGCCTGGGGATGGCCATGCCCTGAGCACAGGGCAGATCTGCAGCCTGCACACCTCCGGAGAGAGCAGGACCAGCTCTGCTATCCAAACACATCCCTGTGAGAGTAGCAAGTGCCTGGTGTCTGGGCTCAAGGGACAGCACTATACTTGATCAAAGAATGCTTCCAAAAACTTACAGTGTTCATGCAGCTTTGAAAAAAATCAGTGTCACAAACCAACTTCTTGATCTTTTCTTCATCCACCTCAGCAGCAATAGCACACAGGCTGAAGAGGCTGGAGGAGTGCAGTGCTGGGGGGACAGGTTAGCATCTGAACACGTAATTTTAAATGGCTGGCTTGAGGAGAGTGCAGTACCTCTCTGAAAAACCTCACTGACGCTACAATTTTTATCTGTGGGATCTGATCCCTCCCACAGCCACCCTTTGAGCACAATTTCTGCATTACCATGAGCACGCCAAAGGACCACCAGTCGGCACTCTGCGTGTGCCCTCGCCGGTTGACCACCTCTGGGGCCATGTACTCTATTGTCCCGCAGAATGAGTACGCTCTCTTGTCGTGGTCGATGGCTTCTTTACTCAGACCAAAATCTACATAAATCGAAGCAGAACAGGACTTGTCAGGTCTCTAAAAATTATCATTTATGCTTTTGCTTGCTTAAATTGTTTGAAGAAAACATGCCAACCAGCTGGTGAAGTGCCCTTGTGTCCCCGTGCAGAAAGAGGCCACAGACCTGTGTGTGCTGGAGACAGGCCTATGTGGAGTGCCTGGCACTTCTTAATACATCCTGGAAACAGGCATATCATTTTCCCTGCTCAGAATGAGGTTCTAGCTCAAAGCAGAAGGGAGTTTAAATAAGCAGGTATATACAGTTCAGGTTTGGTAAAGGCAACGTTAGTGAGGATTCTTGTGCAGCTGTATTCCAAAGTATTAGGAATAATAATCCCAGATTACACCAGTGAAAATGTTGGATAGACAGTACCTCTAGAGTGGGAAAGAGATGTTTTTCCAGCCATCCTCTGCCTAGATTAAATAGTCATATTGGAAGCATCCTTCCAGCCACAATGGCAAGCAGCCAAACCTGACTGCTTCACATCAGTCAAGAGCACAATTTTACCAAGAAAATGATATATGTTCTCCATGTGCTGTGCAGCATGGGGGTTGACAAATTGACAGAGAAACTCAACACTCTAACTCTTCTGGCTTCTAGTTTTTGTAAGCAAACTCTTTCCAACCAAAGACCAGGATGCATGCAATATACTGCAGAAAAAAAAAAAAAATCACCTTCTAAGCATGAAGTTTTCTGTTTCTCACATACCTGTTATCTTAATGTGACCCTCTTCATCAAGAAGAATGCTATAAAGCAAAAAAATAAACATTCATTCATTAGCCAGGCATAAAGTGCAGTTTAAAAACGTGAATAAAAGATGTTTAATCTCATGTCTGATGCATGCACAGCCTGAGGCAGTTCTATGAGGAGCCTCCTCTGTGCTCCATAGGATGGTCAAGGTGGGCATGCAAACAGAGCTCAGAAAGAACAGGGTGTTCAAAGCCAACAGCTGCAGATCATATGCTTCCAGCAGGAGAAGGAGCTACACATTTCCTGTTCTTGTCACAAGAAAAGGCAATAGTAAAATAATCAAGGCTTGGACTCACTGGACCTAAAATTTAAGTCCAAAGGTTCATGCTGAAGTAATAAAAGTCATCACAGAGCACAGTGACTAGTCACAGCCTAACTGCATGGATCCCAGCCTCTGCTTATTTTTTCTGTCCAGCCTTGAAGCCAAATTCAAGTGTTCTCACATTTGCCACCTGCCAACATATTTTTTCCTAACAGAGGCACTCCAACATTTTTGTAGTTCACAAAAAGCAGTGCTAGTTTTTGTGGAAACAAGAAGGAACCTTGGATTTGAAAAATAATGCTTTTGGTAAATAAAAACTGACATAGTAATGAATGTGGTCTTTTTTCAGTCCTAGTTAGACTCAGTATATTTCTCTTTTCAAACTGATCTAGCATGGTGCCAACTATTTTTATATTCCTCTTCTCTTAGAGAATCACTTTAATCGAATTATTCAGGAAGAAAAATGATAGAAGTGAACCAAATATAATGGGCTATACTTTTGGGAAAAGTTGCATCTGAACTGAAACATAATTGAAAAAAGATGTTCTTCTGTCATTCAAGTGTTTAGAAAAAGCTGTTGTGCAAGTCATCAAAGGCCAGCAACTAAGTCAATACCATGAGTCCAATAATTAAATCCTTCTCTTCTCAATAAAAGCATCTTACCTTTATTCTTTCTGCACAGTTTCCTTGAACACATAATTTTCAAGTATTAGTCTATACCAGACACATTTAAATGTATTTTTGTGACTACAACCCCTAAACTTGTGCTTCAAAAGAGAACAGAATAAAGAACCTGCCAGTGAGGAAGTGAGCCTGAATGTATTGAACTCCCCAGACCTGGATCTGGAAAAATAGCAGGGGGAATGGAGCTCACAAAAATCACCCCAAATTTTGCCCCACACCCAGGAAGCCCCCGTGAATATCTATGAAATTCAAAGGTTGTGGGAATTTCCCCAGAAGCATTGGTTTTACATTTAATGGGCCTTACATTTCATAATTTCCTATGGAAAATCCATGCTGCTTCAGTATGTACATGATGTGTGTTTCCCATACTTTTTCCTGATTAAAGGGCTCACACCTCACCCTCATTAAAGGATAGAGGCAACACCAACAGAGCTTTCATACTGATAATTCTGCCTGAGGTTGAGTCAGAAACATACAGCAACCTTCTCAGACTGTTTGCATGAGCACCAAAATGAATAGATCCTGGCTTCCAATGGATGTGTATCCTATATCCCCTAAAACATGATCTACACTTCCCTCCTCCAGCTCATGTTCCCTAATCACCCTCCTACCATGCCTCAGCTTCTGGCAGCTTCCTCAGTGGCCCCTGGCAGCACCCTTTGGACATCTGGGAGCACGAGTAATGCTACAGTCACTAACCAAAGATTGTATTTAATGTAAAAAGAAAGCAATATGCTAATAGTGAGGGAAAAACAAGGGCAACTGTTGCACTGAATTATCTGCGAGTGAAATTAAGAAGACCAAAATACTTGCTTCTAAGAATGCAAATTACAACAACAGACAAATAGTTTTCCTGTGACAGTAGAAGCAAACTTATTATCTGATCATACTCTGTACTCTCTTTTTATTTTTGTCACCTTACAATTCCTTTTTATCCCACAATATCCATAATAGACATTCTATTGTGACAATCACAATTACTTTAGTGATGGTTTACAGGATAAACTAATCTGAAATAAGATAGCATTATTCTATGGAAGAGGAAAACCAACAAAAAGTTCTTAATATGATTCAGGCTTGAGAATAATCTTTCATCTAAATGAATGTTTTGAAATTATAAAAATCATTAAAAAATAGACTACTTTTAAATGCTAATCTAGGTTATAATCATACTGAATTATAAACTTCAGCTAGGTATTTTTCATTTTATTTGTTCAGTCTAATGCTTGAGTGCTTTTACAGGATACTGTCATTGTAAACCTTCTCTTCAAAGCAGTAGTAACAGTTATTGGGTGAAAAATATGCCAACACCATAAATAAATTAACCACACATAGCCTTGGAACAAAAAATGCCAGAAAGTAAGGGTGTCTCTTAGAGAAGAGGAGACTGAGGGGAGATGTTATCACAGTCTACAGGTTTCTCAAACTGGGAAGAGGAGGGGCAGGCACTGATCTCTTCTCTGTGGTGACCAGTGGCAGGACCCACAGGAATGGACTGGAATTGTGTCAGGGAGGTTTAGGCTGGATATTCGGAAAAGGTTCTTCACCCAGAGGGTGGCTGGGCACTGGAACAGGCTCCTGAGAGAAAGGGTCACAGCACCAGCCTGACAGAGCTCAAGGAGTGTTTGGACAATGCTCTCAGACACATGGTCTGACTCTTGGGATTGTCTTGGGGATGTTCTATTATTCTATGATTGAACATTTTAGCATCAGGACCATCCCATAAACATCCAAACTGCTTTCACTGACCTCAGTTTAAAAGTATGCCCTGAGAAAATAAAGGCTGGAGATCTCCATGCTAGAGGCTGGGGCAGCTACATTTGTAGCAGGAATGAAACAGTCTGAGTTACAGGAGAAGTCTCATAGCAGAGCTAGGGCTGCAAACTCCATATCAACTTTTCTGCTGCAGCTTTATCTCAGGGGAAAAAAGTTTTTGTTATGAATTGTTGGCATTGTTTCATATCAGGTCTTAAATCAAGGCCTGAACAATTCTCTCCCATTTCTCTCTCACTCTCTTTATTTTTGGTTTTGGGTCATGTCTTCTGGACTTCACTTTGAGATCCAACATCCTCAAATCAATGTGATGTTCTGCCAAACCTAAAAAAGCTGGAGCTCTGGGTTTTTTTTTTTTTTGGGGGTTTTTTTTTTTGTTTGGTTTGGTTTTTTGTTTTGTATTTTTTTTTTTGATATTTCTAAGTGAGTGCTGTTTTGTAGAAAATCCAAGCCACGCTTTATGTTAATCAGAAACTGTAGCCAAATTTTCAGGTGGTAAATAAAATCTGAGACTTTATCAAGAGTGTTTTATTTCATTTTGTTATGAAAGTACCAGATGAAGTAGTCAAATACCTACTAAAGAGATTAATATTCTCACAAACTGTGTTTTGTGACATTTCAGTACTCACATGACCCCATACTATCTCACATGACCCCATGTTATCTCACTCTGCTGAACACAAATTCCTCTCTGCTGTAGCTTTGTTGACACCATGAAGTCAAAAAGTGACTGCTTACATCAATGGAAGCTTGCCACTATAATTAGTAAAAAGGATCTTTTATTGATTCTCAGATTTCCCCTCTCTACACAGGGCAGTTACATTCATAAATCAGTAGTCTTGGTTGGAAACATGCTGCATTAAAAAGTGGTGTTTGGCTTTTTTAGAGTATAGTGCCTATGCTGTCCCTTGTGTAGACAACTGAGGGCCTTAAAATGTACATCACTCCTTGTTAATCTAAGCCCCTATTTCAGAACTTGAAGTACATCTAGGTTTCTGAAAAGAGAAATGGTAAAGTAAATAATAGTCTGTACATTTTCAGATGGTAGCATTATTTCTAAGTCACCCATGCCCTTAAACCACAGCATAAGAAACCCAATATGCATCATATACTACCTTATAATAAGTTCCATTTTTTCTATTTTGGAATATTTACCATATATCCCAGGGTATATATACCATATTTTTATAGCTTGATTGTGCAGTTCTTAAGTAAAAATGTTCCTCACCATATAAGGAACTCAGTGGCTTCCAGTGTGACTGAACAATATCTTGCCCCACAAGCGATGCCACTGAAATCATCAAGACAACTCAAGGAGAAGAATTTGTCTGCAACAATTCAAGACAAGTATCTCCATGTTCTAAACAAGACTTTAACCAGAAAGTTCAATTACTTGTCTTTTTGAAGTAAGTACAGCTGACTTGAGAACAACTCCCAGCTGCACTTCAAATTAACTCATAGCTTTGAATTGTTAACATTGAATCTTAAAAAAAAAAAAAAAGCTGAACCCTTAATTTTAATGTACTCAGGGTTCTTCCAAGTGGTTCAAGTAGTTTGAATGGTTTGAACAGTACTGTTTTCCTTTTTTTTCTTTCCTTTAACATAAACAATTCCAATGAGCTTTTTTAGCATACTTACAGAGCTGATAAGCAAACTCAAACCTATCAGCAGCTACTTTTGGGAGCTTCTGAAGAACAACAAAAGCATTGAACAGTGAAAGGTCCAATGCAGTGCCTATCTTTAATAAAGGGGAGAGAGGGAGAATTGGGAAATTATGAACTAATTAATCTATCTCCAGTTCTGCAAATCTGACAGAGCAAACCTCGTGCTGCAATCATGCTGGTAATGCCCCTGCTGAAGATGTGTGTGTGATTCTGTACATTCTTCAAAGGACAGAGGAATCAAGGGAAACCAAAGGGGAGTAATGAGAATAGCTGAAGCCTCGTGAAGACTGACTAGTGAAGAAGAGTTCAGTACCTGGATTGTTTAGGGTACAGAAGAGGGTCTAAGGAAAAGGATGTTCTCACAACCCCCTGAGGCTGTTGCTGACAGCAGAACAAGCAGGTTGGGGCTTCTAGGAGGACAGGCCAAGGAGCATTGGCCTGTAGTGGCAGCAAAGAAACTTCTAACTACGTATTAAGAGCAACATTTTAGATTAGCAACTGCTGGAGCACTGCCAAGAGGCCTCCTGTGTAGAGCACAGTCTTCACCAGCTGTTTTAAGCCTAGGTTAGCAACACACCTGTTATGGTCTTGATCCTGCCAGGGGGCAAGGGGAGGATGAGAACATACTGAGATGGTTCTAATTTTCTTTTATCATATTTAGAAAGATATTTTTTCCCACATGTAACTAAAAAATGTAGTATTCCTCCCCCCCCCCCCGAGAGTAGTTATTTTATTCTATTCTATCCATTTCTTTAATGTAAACCTAAAGTTCCAGAGAAATCATAGGCTGTCATGCTCTGCTCTCCTAGGTGTGACTATACACAGGCTTTGCACTTACAGAGCTATTTTTAGAGGATATAGTTTTCATTCAGAAGCCTTGCTTTATCTCCAGGTATGGACTTCTGGGTCCTTCCTATACAATGGTTATATTCATGTCAGCTAATTTTACACTACATCAATTGCATCCAAATTAAACTGTATTACAGTTAATCCATTTAACTGTGCATCAAAGGCCATAAACCATATATACAAAAGCTAGAAAATGCAAGAGTGAGGGCTGCCACCTTAACTTTACACAGTGATCTCTCTGTATAGGTCTTTAGTTATGTGATGATACTTTATCTTTTCTTCTAGAGAAATCTTGTCTCAGTTGGCAGACTGGTAATATTCAGGGAGGGATTTTAGCAGAACAGTACAGTGAAGGGGATGGCTGGTCTCAGCTCAGACAAAAATATAGAAAAAACCGGATTCCATCTGTATCTTTTCAACATGCTTCTATGTGACAATGACAAATCAGTGACACCTTCCTTCCTTAGATGAGCTCCAATTTCTCGATTCACTGATCCCTGATTGGAAGCACTTCAGCTTGGTCTACAGTAATATAAAGTGCTCTCACTTGCAACTGGAGTCATTGAGAGATGTTTTTTGAGATGCTAAGTCACATTTCCTTCCGAGAACTCAGAGGAATCCAGGTCTCAGTATCTCAAATACAATGAACAGTTTTGACATACACCAAATTTTCTCCTTGGTTTCTAACTTCTTCTAAAGCAAAAAATTACAGCATATGCCTAAAAATGTAATGGCATTGTGACATATCTGAATATACAAGCTTGTATTTAGATACTTTCTAACAGCAGATTAATATGTCATGTGTTAGCTCAAAAATCAGCCTAATATATCTAATATATCAGAGAGAAAATCTAATCTAATCCAATATATCAGAGAGAAAAGTCATGCATGAGCCATACGAATGCTCACTAGAATCAAAGTTTAAAACAGAAAACCTAGAATTGGAGTTATTCTATTGGATATATATTTGCTGATGTTGAATGGATAAAACAGCAATTCAGAATGAAACTGAAACCAAGGAGCTGATGGTAGATGATGCAAGAGCCTGTGGCTGTGGCAGCTGGGGTGTCACCACTGCCTACCTGCATCTCAGATCAGGAACAAACTGGTACTTTTCTCCCTCCAGTTTTTAATTGTAGGATGACTTCCCGTATTTGACAAAGACTCTGGTTTCCAGTTTTGGTTGCATAAATGGACAAGACTGGAAAATCTGGCCAACTACAAAAAGTCTGCTAGCCCAAAAGACTGAGAGCTCTTGCTATGTACATCTGTTGAATTCAAATAGTACTACTACTGCTACTACTATTTTTCTAACCAAAACATAAAACTGAATTTAAAATTTAAATCACCTAGAAATGCAATGGAGATAACAGTTTCCTCCCCTTCAACTTTTCACCTACAAAATCCATCTTCCATCACTTTTGGTCTCATATTTTGTCCGTGAGAGTGAAAGCGATAACACTTCATTTTAAAGAAAGACCTGCATATTTTTCAGTTTGATGCCACAGAAGGAAAATGCTGTTGTGCTGTTGGGCTTTGAAAGTGTAAGCAATTGTCAAAAAGACTGCCCTCAGTGGTTATCTTTTATAAATGCTGGTGACCATTACATTAAAAAGGAACTTTGGAATGTTGCAGCCTGATTTGAGTCGTCACAGCAGAATCCAGCAAAGCACCAAGCAAAGGGCATAGAATAAAAACAGTATCATGTCACTCCTGGTGATAGCACTGAGGGTGTCATTTGCTCTGCTGATGTATTGCAAATAAAAAAGAGAAAGGAAAATTAGGACTACATTATGAACGAAAAATAGCTGCAAATATAAGTGAGAACAAATATTTTGGAAAATATGCTGCACAGTTAATACAAGTGTTTTAAAAGACCTGATTATCATGTGTCTCATGAGTTAACAGGCACACAAGTTCTAAGACATGCTCATTTACTTTAAGCAATGGCTCCAGTAAAACTGAACAGTGCCATGCCATACTCAGTATGAGCTGGAAGTGGAGTTGCTCTGAGTGGTTTCCATGGAAGTGGAATTGCTTTGAGTGGTTTCCACTGCATCGGGTGAAGGCCAGATTAAATGCTGCAAACACAGAATGGTGCCAATGAAGTTTAAAGGCACAGGGATCTGAATTCTTTACTGAAATCATTCACAAAACTGAAGGCCAGGCACACGGAGGTCCCATCATACTGGAGCACAGTCAAAACATTTTGTCTCACGCTAAGATGGTATGATAGGCAAACCCTTCTGCTGTTAGTGATGGTCTCATGTAGAGTCTCACAAGGAGGAAGGCAGAGCCCCTGGCACCTTCTCATTTAGTAGTGTGACAAGGAGCAGAAGGAACCTAAAAGTTAATGTATTTATGTTTTAGTTCTCTCTTCCCTGTTAACTTACTTTTCTGGTTTTAGATCCCTGTAAATAATCCCAAGACCATGGAGGTGGTCTAATGCCAAGGCCAGCTCAGCTAAGTAGAATTTGACATCCTCTTCTGTAAACATCACCTGGGGAGAAGGAAGAGAAGACCACATTTATTTATTGGACACTGGTGGGCTGGCTTGCATTAAACAGACACAGGGAAGGAATTGTCTAACCTGGGAATGCTGGAAGGACCATCATATCACATTCAATTTTCCATAATTTGTCTGAACTGACATTAACAACTCTTACCAGATTCTCCCTATAAAACAAAACTTGATCTGTTGAGCACCTCTGCTCCTAAAATATGCTGCTCTCATTCATCTGTTTGATCTGTTTAGATGATATTATGTCACAATATTAGGAATAAATTATAACTCCTTAGCCTTTGGAAATGAGCAGAAAAATTAAACAAATTCAATGCAGCCCATATTGCTTTCATATCCCTTAACTTGCTACAGTCTTGGCATTTGGTTATCAAATTCCCATGAAATAGCATGGAAACCTTTTTGAGGCAGTGGAGTACTTCCAAGTCTGAGCAGAATACACAGCATGAAGAGAATCAGAGGTCGATTTAAAACTTCATGCCTTGGAGGTCCAAGGAATATCAGAGCAGATGCTCTAAGCAGTGATGTGCTGTCTAACATCCAAGGCCTGATGAGGTGCCAACTCAAGACAGTGTTTTCTGCAGCTGATATGGACACTGCTAACACTGAAAGCTGTGTTTTAGGTGAGAAGAAACTTCTGTAATAAAAAACCAATAAGCTCTGAAAAACTCAGATGGCAGGAAACCCCTTGGTTCAACTTCCATTATATCTGAGATGTTCTCTTTAATTAAATTTAAATATGCACAGAGATAATAATGCAGAAAAAGAAGCTGCTATATTGGATACACAAGTGTGATTATGCATGACAGAAGTAAAATGAGTCAGCTGAAAACAAATTTACTTGTCATATGTAAATGTAAATTCTACAGCAGAAGTTGTAGAGCTTAATTTTAAAATTAAATCTCTGCTCTCAAAAATGGGTAGCCAAAATATCTGAGTGCTTTGAGAAGTTCCAGACAGCTGAGAGAAAAAAGAGATGATTCAGAGTACAGACATCACATAATTTAATTAAGAATATTACTGCAAAGAAAAATTTGTAGAGATAAAACCACAAGGAAAATAATAGCAAAGTTCTCAAATTTAATTGTTATTGAATGTAAAAATGAAATTAATTTTAAAATAAATTTAAATTATTTATAAGATTTAAAATAAACAGTGTAGGCAATAAATTAAATCAATAGAATTCAGGAAAAATCTAATCTATACATACGCACCTAGTTAAAGTCAGATGTCTCAAAAAGACAGCGAGAAATAGGCAAGCTCTGCATGCATGCACGCAATGTATGCACGTGGGATCTGACTTGAAGTCCACTGAAATCAATACCTTTTGACCAAATCTATACCTACAAATTGCAAACAGTTCAAGCTTTCCCAGAATTTCTTCCCTTGCAATATCTTGCCCCTAAGCAGCTGCAAAGTATGGGCAGGCAAGGTGAGCTGCAAGCACTGAAAAAAGAGAAGTATGTTTTTACATCAGCTTAATGAGTCATTAATTATGGTATACAGCACAGGAGTTGGTGAATTGCCCTGGACAAGCTCTGGGGAAAACATGAAGCTTTAAAGAAGTACAAAGTCTGAGCTGTTATCTTCCACTTTTGAGTTCCCTGGCTGTGCAGAACACAGCCCTGCCCTCTTAGGCAAAAACCACATTTTCTGTCTTCTTCCATGAAACCAGAGAGGCCCTTGCTGAGACAGCAGAGCTGCCTCACTAATAAAGCTTGGTTTCATGACAATAGCAGAAGGACATTTTAAATTAAAATGTTTAAAATCTTTTTTCTCATATTAAAAATAACTGCTGCCAGGGACTGAATATTTATATAAGGATCATTACTCAGCAGTGTAATTAACGTGTAACCAATGTCTTCTTGCATTAGCAAACAAACCTTAAAAGCAAAAGCTTGGGGTCCCAAGTTGCAGGGCACACAGCATCCTGCAGCATGTCACTGAATCAGAAATTGAACAGGGGTGGGGGAGAGCTGGGGAACTTTTGACTGAAAATACTGTTTTCACAGCTTTTTTTAGTCCATCAGTAACTCCCCAAACCCAAGAAGAGTAACTGGGCTTCCCCTCAAGATGGCATTTGAAAGATTCCTGTCTTTAAAGACTCTGTGATGAGTGGTTGCCTGCATTCCTGTCCCCACACCCTTAGAAGTACCAAGGCTGGGGACATCGTATTTGTTGGTGACAGAAAACACCAGAGCACAGACAACTGCAGCTGTGAGCCATCCTGCCTCACTGGAGCTTCCTGCACTCCTGCAGGGACCTCTCTGGGACTGCTGCCTCACAGAGGTTTGGAGATACAGGAAAGAGCAAAACAAACCTAGAAAACCTGCTGTGGCTGCTCTGTGTGGGCACCAGCAAGACTCGGGTTAGGGACATTCCCTGCCCACAGCAGCCCCTCTCCAGGGGCATGGCATGCAGAGGATAGGGGAGGGATGAGAGCCTGGGGAGGGAATGGAAGCAGCAGCTGCTCCTGGCAGGCAGGAGGAGGGCACATGAGGGCTGTGATAGTCAATCTCCCATGTCTGGGCTGGTGCATGGCCCTTAACCTGCTCCCAGCAGCTGCACAGCCTGGCCCCGACCCATGGCCGTCCCTCCCTCCTCCCTGGCAGTGTGTATATGTTCTTCTAGTGGTTCTGGGCTCATCCCTAGGGCAAAATGTATTGCGGATTGATTTCTCAGACTGTTTCTTATCACATCAAAGACTTATTCTGACAGCATTGAGTCTGGGGCTATTTTGCTACAGGAATGGTTTAGCAGTGGAACAGTTTTCTCTGGCAGTGATGCCTACATGGTATCTGCTGCATTACCTCTGGCATAATTCAAATACAATTATTGAGAACCCACTTAACCATGCAAGATGAGATAGCTCTATTACATATATATATGACTATTCCCAAGGTCATTTTTCATTCCCACGAACTCAGTTTGAGTTTGTGGGAATAGAAAATCCAAGACAGTCTTTTGTTTCTGAGTTAAAGATCTATTAGCTTACCTCTTTGGAGAGTCTGGTGAAAAGGTCCCCTCCCCGCAGGAAATCTAGTATTAGGTACAACTTTCCCTCTGTTTGAAATGCTGCATTAGAAAAGGATGAATATGTTGGAAGTTTGAATCAATAGATAAAGTCCCCAAAGCGTAAGTCCTGTTGACTAGCATCATTCATGCCACTGCTTCACTGTCACTTCAAAACTTTGAGGACTAAAAAAAAACATTCCTGTATAGAACTTAGCAATTGAGCTTTGGCTATGGGAAAAAATACTGTCAGTTGAGAGACAATGGTGCATTACTAATATATTCATTTCTATGTTAAGCACCTATGAATTAACAGTGTTTCCCACTCCACAAGGTATCAGGAGTCACTGAGAGCAAGGCATAGAGAGAAGTTCCCTTGTTTGTGTGAAAGAGGAGCCCACATACCTGAATGCCCTCAAAATACCTGTCACAGTACTGATGGGGTTGGTGTGGTAGGAGACAACTCCAGCAAGACACTACATTCATGTACACATCTATAAGGATTTAGACTGGTACTGATTATTATAGTCTGATTTTATTTAAATTCTCTGTCTTCCTAAACAATACCTGACAGCAAGTGAGAGTTTGGCAGATGTAATTCAGCAGCTACCCCACCAGCACTACCTATCATGTCAGACTTTATGACAAATTTATTTCAATGGAGGAATGGCTAAAACTTACAAGTACTGGATGTTGCCTTCAGCATAAATGAAGAATTTCACACAGGTAGCCTCTATGACTTTGTTAGCAACAGAGTCATAAGTAGGCAGGGGGCATCTGTACCAAAGTGTAACACACCTAGTTACAATTCCCCACCCAAATTAAGAACAAACATGAATTATATTTTATTATAGTTACCATAATGAAGCTTGACTATGAAAGGATGGTTCACTTCTGCCAAAATATCTCTCTCCATTTTAGATCGTACCCGATCCCGAACTATAAAGAAAGAACAATAAGAACAGAGACATATTAAGAAGCAGCATGGTCACTGGATACAGTACTGGAATAAGATTCTGGCAATCTGGATTCTGATTCTCACTCTGCTGATGGCTTGTATGACCTTAGGTAAATGACCTTAGGACACTTAGGTAAGTGTCCTCTATTTCTGACTGTCTGATCTGTGTAGCAAGTTCTCTAGGAAGGCCCTGGGTCTTTCCCTATAGAGAGCTGCCCTAACTAAAATGATTACAGTATTGCAAACAACAAGAAGGCAATTACACTTCACAGAAGAGAATGTTAATGTGAAAATGAAAAATACACAGAATTAATTACTTTACTTCATTTAAGATGAAACAGAATGTACCAGTCCCAGAGCAAGTCAGATTAATCTTGTTCAAATGAAGTTATTCTGTTTTGCTGATGCTAGCAGCATTTATGACGTACCATTGAATAGCACTTTCTGGAAGTGATCTGTATATACAATGTTCAAAACATCCAATAAACCACCACCCAAACAATCATAACAAAGAAAAAATCCAAATAAAAATCGGAACTAATTATTTTTATGTATAGAGATAACTTTATTGTGTGATAGCAGAGAGAAAAATACTTTTTGTGTTTGAGATGAATAGAGACTAAGGGAAATCATAATTTCAGAGGTGAGCTGAGTTCAAGCTAAACAAAACTAATGCTGAAGATTTCATACCAAAGCCATTTAACAGAATATTCAGACACTGAGGAGGATTCCAGTCCCCACATTACCAAATCTTGATCCTAAAGATGCATTTGCATTTTTCAGTCAATCACTACATTATTGAAAAATATTGACATTTTCTTTGTTCTCTTCACAATGCCAATATACTTTTCGGATGAAAGCATCTAGAATATATATTAAGAAACTATTTTAGGTAGCAAAGCCTGAGATCTGTCAGACTCTGTCATTGCAGGCATTTGTTGTAGAGCTGCTCAGAGTACTGAGCTGAGTACTCTCAGCACCCGAGAAAGTAACATAAATAACAAAACCCCTGTCTATTGCTATACTTCAAAAATTGATGCACAGAAATAGGTCCAATCCAGCTGATCTGAAAACCTTAAATAGCACAGGTGACACACTTTGGTTTCTTGCTATTTTGATGCTTAACTTAGGCCAATAGCAATGTAAACTTTACTAGCTCATCCAAGCTACCTTGTAGCTTGAATGAGCTAGTAAATGAATTCAAAACAGAGGGAATCTCATCCCACAAGTAAAAATCATACATCCTACACTCACAAAATTTTTAACCTATGTAAAGATAGACTGTTTCTTGTGCTGTCCATCAGGGATGATCCCAAGTGGGAATCTGTGTTGGATAGGTGGGCATTGCTGGACACTGCGTGGGACATTTCCATTAAGCTTGGTTAGGTAGCCTAAGAAATTGCCTCCCTACATTTGCACAGCACATTTGTGAGAACAGGCTGTCAGAACAGTAGCACATCATTCATATCAATCATCATATCAATCCTCCACCCATCATGTTAACCTCTCAACAGGCAAAGGCTCAGTTATGCAGCCCAGTGCTTTCCTGAAGCCCCATGCCCTGCTTGCTGCTGTGATGGTGACTGGGTGTGGACCTGGAACCACACAAGCCACTCTTCTCGCCACACGCACACAAGAGGTACACCAGACTTAAAGAGAAGGGGATGTCACCACAGAAGACATCTCATTCTCCAGTCATGGCCTCTGAACCTGTAGCTGCTGCATTAAGGGGCTACATATCCTTTTGCAAACCTGTGTTTCAGGAGCAGAAGTCGGGCTTGTGAAGCTGGAGGCTCAGCAGCCCCACAGACTGTCCCCACCTGGGCATTGCTGTCCTCACATGCCTGGGCCAGCCCAGGACCCCTCAGGCACCATTTGGTGGCAAGAGCACCAATGAGGGTGTGTGGCAGTGCCATGGGCTTTGCTCTGCTCCCTGGTCTGAGACCCCCCTGGTGCCCCACATGTGCCCCACCATGCTTCCCTTGGGGCCAGATGGGCCCTGCCAGGGTATGGATGCTCTAAATTAGGGCTCCCACGGCATACACCATTTTCCACTTAGAGCTCTCCTCTTTAAAATCATATGTAGAGAAAGATCCAGCAAGACAGTGCACATTACAGACGTCTTAATGGACTGCCTTGGCCAAGGGCACCGGGCTGCAAAGAAAATGTGATAAGCAGCAAAGTCCCAGTGGGAGCATCTGCTGACTGCATTGAGGTACAGCAGCCTGGTCCCTCCCCAGAGTCCTCTGCAGGTGGCTCAGGACAGCACCTGGTGATTTGGTTGCCTCTCTGAGTGGGTCAGTCCCTTTCCAGTGATTTTGGAAACTGTTGTCTTGATTCACCAGGCTGAAATTGGCGTTTGAGAGTTTAAATTTTTTTAAAGTAGGAATGGGTTGTCAGATGATAAGTTTGCTGTCTTAGTGACATTTTCCTCAATGATTTTTGTCCTTTTTGACAATTTTAACCGAAGTGCTGCTGAATCCCCTGACCTGAAACATCAGGGAGAGAAATCCCCCTTTATGTGTGACAAAAACATCTGCCACTTACAGAAAGCTGTTTCTGCAGGAAGATATATGCAGAAAATACATAAATAAGGTTAAAAATTTCACAATCTGCCCAGAGATATTTAGCAAAAAGCATTATTAACTATAAATTATTTGCTCATCCTTATCTTTCAATAAGAATGTCACTGCTTAACCAGAAGTGAAGAATTAATTAATTAATAAAGCAAGTATAAGGGGAGCTACAAACTAAGTTAATTAAATCAGCATCAAAAAGTATCGCAGCAGGAGAAATAAATCAGTGAACAAAACAATGGCTTTAAATTTCATCCATAACCCTCCTCCCTTCTTTAAAACTCAGCACTCTGCCTCAAGTGGAGCAAAAACAAAATAGGACTCATGCTTAGGAACTTGCAACTCAATTTCAAATTTTTCACATAGCACCGGAACACAAAAAAGAAAAAAAAAAAGCAAATAGAATATATACGTAAAACTCCCTGCAACAGCCTTTTCAATTCTACTGCTGTTATTGTAATCTGTTTTTTATACTGTTAATGTTTGCCTACCATTGTAGGCAAAAGTAGAGAGCTAAATTCTAAACTCAATCCACACTGCCTGTGTCCAGAAGACAAAGTACGTGTGTGGTGCGCAGCTACCTGAGATATGGAAAGGCTTTCTAAAAGTGACCATAGTCATGGTTCTGCTTGGAAATACTATTTGCTTTACTGTGTTCTTGTTCCACACAGCACAAACTCAAATCCTATAAAGAGCAGCCTTTCATGTTGCACCTTCATCAGCAGAGCATTAATACAGCACAAAGGAAAATCAGAAAACGTCCTGTTGGCACACTGGATGCAGAAGCATACCAATAATGTCACACTGGGACTTTTTGTACTTTTCTTTTGAAATGCATATCATTCTGTGAAGGTGATTTTTCTGGAAGAAAGTTTTTCTGTGGCCAGAAATATGGAACCTTTTAGAGATGGGGAAAAAAACATTATACCACAGCTTTACCACTCAGCCCTATGCTTCTGCAGCAAAGGTAGAAAAACAGATCTACAGAGCAAAGACACTCCTTTGTAGAAGGGCACAGTAAGAATGCAGACTGGGTTTCAGGAGTCCAGAATCTGGGGGAGGTCATTTTATCTCCCTCCCTCCTTTTTTTTTTTTTTCCCCTTTCACATGAAACAACACATTTGGCTTTAAAGAAATCAAAGGGTTGCCTTTGTTTGTTGTATTTTAAAGTAGCCTTGATGCTCTGATGTTGAGATTTGGAATGATAGATGTCTCTAAATCAATACTATGCTTTAGTATTGAACTTCCATTTCTAGTCTTTATTACCTATTCGCTATTCTCTCTGTTTTTAAAAGTTAATTAAATCTCACAATATCCCTCTGAAGTACTTTTGCTCAATTTTCCAACAAAGAGAATTAAAGAACAGATTGATGACATCTGATGCTGCAGAAAAAAAAAATCACATGGGACTTATCAGGTGCAAACATGGCTTCTACTAGGACATACAAACTCAGCTGAAAATAAATCCACAGACCAGCAAACTGAGCCCTTGTCATATTTTCCTCATAGCTTTGACCAGCAAGGAGCAGCCTGGTGAGCTGAGGGTGCTGCACAGTCGCCTCCTTCCTATCCCATGGAGACTCTGGCAGCTGCAACCTCGTGCTGTTTCCTCACTGGGACACCAACTGGGATCTCTCCTCTTGATCAAAAAAATCACAGATGCTGCAGGAGGTTAAGTGTGTTTTAGATTTTTGGCTGAAATTAGCTGTTGGGCTCAACCCCATGATTAGAGAAATATAGTCTGGCAGACCAGCCAGACAATCCCATAAATCTCATGTCCTTATGCAAGGGTGAAATTTCAATTTTTGTGTATTTTTAAGCAGAACTGGACCACTGAATAGCCACAGATTTGCTTATTCATAACTCCCATAACTGTTTCTCACCAGAGTCTGGGAGCTGCAGATGTGAAATGGTATCCAATAAGCCAAATCATATGGTGATGTACGTCTCCAGAAAAGTCAGAATTACACCCCTCACTAATGCATAAACCAGTTCTAACTAAATTCATTAAAACCAGACTCAATAAACAGCTTGATAAAGAGAAAAGAAAGCTGCCATCTGCAAGAAGGGAATTTCCTCTAGAGATCCAAAACCTACAGCTGGAAATACATCTGTTCACAACTTGTGCAAAACTGAAAATCTTCAACACCTCTGCAGAGTTGCACCTGGAACTTTTTTTTCTTTTTATGGAAATCATATGTTTGATTTAAATTTATTTACCTTAGGGGATGTCCTGTGAAATCATCAACAAAGTATTTGCTTCTTGAATTTGAGTGTAACATGCTCCTATGCTTCATTTGTTTCAGTAGTACTGAAGTGGGACTTATAACTATTTTTTATTATTATTACTACTATTGCAGGAAACAACAATTTCAGTACTAACTCTTACTGACAGGCAATAATTA